CAGATATTTGATTTCGATTATATGAAAATAATGAAATTCAGATATGACACACTTAGCTGCAAATGCCAGCGAATTTTGCGTAGCAGCGATGGAGTCATCGGCAAAGGATACCCAACGATGGTCACAGCCTGTGTCCTCATCTTCATCTGGCAAAAGCATAGGGGTCCTTGGCCACGGCAGCCAAAATCCCATCTCAAGCTGCACAATGGAATTGTGATCACATAATTAGACTGAGATCATTGGACGACGTGCAATCCAGATAGCCACCAAAAGCCCGACATAGACAAAACGGTAAAGTCGTAGACCCAAGATCGCCTGAAATTGTGGAGTAATGGAGTAATATCTACTGCAATATCTTCGCCATATGTTCTTACCTTGTCATCATCACTGCGAACAGCCTGATGTGGCGCCATCGCAGCCCGTAGAAGAAAAGCATTACCGAGCATCTACTTAACCTGAAAAGATAAAAGCGTCAGTTATATACGGAAAACATTTATGTATGTCAATTATATAACCTCATTATAAACTATTATATACGTACACTATTGAGTTGCCAATGTAGGGGACCAAAGGACGTGGTACCACAGCTGGAGGCACCATCTAAGTGCATGAACGATCTTTTTTTGAGCGTCAATTAATACTCCTGATCTTTAGTAGTCCGAGAGGGTAAGCTGTTTGAAAACTGCACAAAATATACCCGAGAAATGCCAGCTTTTATTAAGTCTTTAAAAGACTACAACGCGCAGAGAAACATCAAATTATATTGGCAGCTTGGGTCAAACTCACACAAAAAGAGAATCGACTGTGCAAGGCGGAGGAAAAAAATACGGTACTTGGGAGCTTAGAAAATAGACATTGAGTAATAAAGAGACAGAGCTGAAGGCTTGCTCCGAGCTTTTTTTACCGTTTTGAAAATCATGAGAGGTAGATCGGGATGGTCCGCAAACGCAAAATCCAACTCAAAAATAAAGCTCATTTACTATAGGAAGCAACAACAAATCATTCGCAAAACAACAACAGTGCGCATTTGTTTTTATCGTCGTCCGTTTTGATCAAAAGTTTCTGCGCGATGATGAGGACATAGGAAACTCAGTGCAAAGAAAAGGGACAAATAATGCCACTGTGTTTGTTGCTGGTTTCTCTGTCGTTCTAACAAGGCGGCGCGTAGAAACAACAACAACACTATTTGGGTTCTAGTCATTGAGTAATAAAGAGACAGAGGAGGCTTTTGGATCAAAAGCTCTTTTTCGAAACACTTCATGAGAGATAGCAAGGTTGCAAACTCAATTGAGTATTACTCAATGAAAAATTGCAAGCACAACACCCGGCTGTCTACAGCTACTTCTGCCGTTGCCCAAAAATCAAATACAACTTCAGAACATTTCCCATATGAACCAACAACAACCATAATCAAAACAAACGACTCGACAATGAAAAAAGCACACCCCAAATTCTGTCCCTGCTATCCCTTTTTGGTTTGAAACTACAGCCTATGATCTACGCTTCTACACTCTTCTAACTCATTGTTGTGGTTTCTAAGCACTGCTATGCCTATAATTCGCAAAATAATGTCTTCTTCTTCTCCACTCGCTTTCAACTTGCAAGCAGCCCGGCAGATTTTATAATTTTTCATTTTTCGATCAGCAAGGCACCCTTTCTCAAAATAGGGTATTTTAACTATTCATTAGTTCTGTACCCAAATACCACTAACCTTCTCATATACACATTTTTATCTTATGTCTGAGAAAAATATAATTTCGTATTTAGTGTGCAACTATTAGTACAATCAATAATAATTGTTTTCTTTAAACATTCTATACCATTTCTATAAATAAGGGTATCAATGCCTCGACACGCCAAATAGTTGTTGGCATGTGTGTCTCATCTCACACACATTGGCAAAAAATATGCATGTATGTGTTTTCCAAGCCAAGGGAAAAAAAAAATTTGAGAAGATTGCAACATTCTGTTGCGCATGTGACGTCACATGCTAGGGCTTTTTGTATGCGACCGTTGCGTACAATAAAGTAATACATTATTAAATACAAACATTATTATAAAAGACCCTATTAATATATTACTTTAATGTACGTAATAAAGATAGAAATATATTCTAAGCATCACAAGAAATGAAATTCTTCAAAATGTGACGTCATAGTATATGATGTTGACGCGCCGTGTGCGTAACCCTTTGATTTAAATGGCATGGCCTGCTCGCATTTAATTTTTCTACGTACTTGCGCCAAGACTCGGCTATGCAAGAACAACACTAGAACCCAAATAGTGTTGTTGTTGTTTCTACGCGCCGCCTTGTTAGAACGACAGAGAAACCAGCAACAAACACAGTGGCATTATTTGTCCCTTTTCTTTGCACTGAGTTTCCTATGTCCTCATCATCGCGCAGAAACTTTTGATCAAAACGGACGACGATAAAAACAAATGCGCACTGTTGTTGTTTTGCGAATGATTTGTTGTTGCTTCCTATAGTAAATGAGCTTTATTTTTGAGTTGGATTTTGCGTTTGCGGACCATCCCGATCTACCTCTCATGATTTTCAAAACGGTAAAAAAAGCTCGGAGCAAGCCTTCAGCTCTGTCTCTTTATTACTCAATGGGTTCTAGTGTTGTTCTTGCATAGCCGAGTCTTGGCGCAAGTACGTAGAAAAATTAAATGCGAGCAGGCCATGCCATTTAAATCAAAGGGTTACGCACACGGCGCGTCAACATCATATACTATGACGTCACATTTTGAAGAATTTCATTTCTTGTGATGCTTAGAATATATTTCTATCTTTATTACGTACATTAAAGTAATATATTAATAGGGTCTTTTATAATAATGTTTGTATTTAATAATGTATTACTTTATTGTACGCAACGGTCGCATACAAAAAGCCCTAGCATGTGACGTCACATGCGCAACAGAATGTTGCAATCTTCTCAAATTTTTTTTTTCCCTTGGCTTGGAAAACACATACATGCATATTTTTTGCCAATGTGTGTGAGATGAGACACACATGCCAACAACTATTTGGCGTGTCGAGGCATTGATACCCTTATTTATAGAAATGGTATAGAATGTTTAAAGAAAACAATTATTATTGATTGTACTAATAGTTGCACACTAAATACGAAATTATATTTTTCTCAGACATAAGATAAAAATGTGTATATGAGAAGGTTAGTGGTATTTGGGTACAGAACTAATGAATAGTTAAAATACCCTATTTTGAGAAAGGGTGCCTTGCTGATCGAAAAATGAAAAATTATAAAATCTGCCGGGCTGCTTGCAAGTTGAAAGCGAGTGGAGAAGAAGAAGACATTATTTTGCGAATTATAGGCATAGCAGTGCTTAGAAACCACAACAATGAGTTAGAAGAGTGTAGAAGCGTAGATCATAGGCTGTAGTTTCAAACCAAAAAGGGATAGCAGGGACAGAATTTGGGGTGTGCTTTTTTCATTGTCGAGTCGTTTGTTTTGATTATGGTTGTTGTTGGTTCATATGGGAAATGTTCTGAAGTTGTATTTGATTTTTGGGCAACGGCAGAAGTAGCTGTAGACAGCCGGGTGTTGTGCTTGCAATTTTTCATTGAGTAATACTCAATTGAGTTTGCAACCTTGCTATCTCTCATGAAGTGTTTCGAAAAAGAGCTTTTGATCCAAAAGCCTCCTCTGTCTCTTTATTACTCAATGAGTGTATGCAAAGAGAATCGCAAGATATGTAAATATGTGCAGACGCGAGCTTGTGCATTATCTCCATTACATTGCGCTCTCCTCAGTAATTGATGCTGCCTGTCGCTCTTAGCATCACTTGCCTGTGGTGCACTCTGCGCTCACACAATTTAGTTCTCAGTTAAAAATCACTCAAATGCATAACTAGATAACACACACACAAACGAGTGTATACAGATGAAATAGTCAAATTTGTACATACATACAAACGTTTATGTGCATTAATCGCACCAAATAAGTCATGCTCTATTTTCTAAACTCCACTTGCATAAAAATAGTTGCCAAGGATTCTGCCAGTCGCAAGTAGTTATGATGCCCTTGCTATTTTAATCAAAGCTAGTCCATTTCTCGAATTGGAATTTTAAATGCCAATTGGAAGTTCTGGTTCTTATGAGTATGTCCTTCGACTACTTGATTTACCCAAAACATTCAAGCTTACATTTGTTTAACAAGCAAAACATTTAATTTAAGTAGCCATCAGGTTTAATTTCAAGTAGGTTTAATGTCAAGTCAACTGTTTCATCAGAGCTCGCATTTTAAGTTTTTGTACAAAATGAGGACATTCATATCGGTGCTTGCATTAATTTTGCTGTTCTTGCTGGCCAGTGACGCTTACAATGCTGGTAAGTATAACCAATCATTTTAGTTTAAGCATTGTTGTGATTAATATGAAACGTCAGGAAAATGTGATGACAAGCCGTGCGAAACAGGTCCCTGTAGGGCATTTTTTCCAATGTGGCGATTTATAAAGGACACTCGCCAATGCGAGTCTTTCATCTATGGTGGCTGCCAGGGCACTCGAAACATGTTTGACGAAGAGAAGGATTGCAAAGCGCAGTGCTTGAATTAAAGAAACATTAAAATCTAATATCGAAGTTGATCAACACATTTAAAATTCAAAAAGTCTTCAATTAATTGACGTTACAAAATTAAAATGATAAAGCAGAGAAAAATTGATAATAAAACTTACAATTACCATTCTTTTTCAAAACCATTCAAAAATGTCGGAATCTTAATCATTCATTAATGTACAATTGACTACTTTAGCGATAGCTTGGAATAATGAGGGCCGATCTTGTAAAAATATACCTTTTAAAAGTCTCGAATAATCGCAATGTGTTGGGTTCAAACTGACACAACGAAAAAACAGAAACGGCTTTGCATGGGGCCTGTTATTAGATTAAATTTATATAATAATTTCTATATAGAAATTTGCTAATAGTGTTAAAATATTTCTTGTACATTATAAATATACTAGACTTACTTCGATAATGTTTAATTATGTTTTATTTATCAAATTTGATTGAACTTTCTGGCAGTACTTTTGCCACCTTTCTTGGCTCCTTAATCGTTGTCTGCGGGCACTGCATCTCGCCCCAGCCAATAGGCACCATAGGAATACGATTCTTTCGGATATCGCTGGCATACGCAACCACCACACCGAGTTCTGCTTCTGCTGTGCTCAGCATAAACGATTGTTCCATCTGGTTGACAACACGCGCCAATATGACATCGCCGGGTTTGAATGACTTGTAAATATCCACTCGGTCTTTTTCAGTTTCGCGCACGTCCTCCTTCCGCAGGAGACCGCGGTAACTACTCTCGAGTAGAACGTTCCCAACGCAAAATATAGCACACTTTGCGAATTTGGGTGTCGTCACAAGAACGCGTGCTGTGACGACATCTCCAGTAGCCGGTATGGTCAAATGAAAGCCCGGTTTGTGCACACTTACAATTTGGCACTGAAATGATAAATACGTTATTTGATGTTAACCAATTATATTAATATATAACTAACTTACCTTTTCCGTGGACTCATCGATATGTACTATTCCAGATTTGCAGGCATAAATATAGCCTCCCTGCTCGTAGGTTCCTTGTCCCACTATAATGTTATCCTCCACGCGACACAAGCGCTCTCCAGGCAGGCAAATCAATGTATCATCCTCATTATTAGATGAAGTAGATGTGATTCTACCCTCTCCAGTCATATTTTCATATATTAATATAATAAATTTGGATTACTGATTTTGGCAACTAAATAAAAACAAGTAGCCATGTGTTTCTGCGCCTAATTCATAACATTTCGCTCAATTGTATTAACAGTGGGTTCTTCGGCGAATTCATATTCATAATGTAAACTATGTTTAAATGATATCGGTTACTAGTTCCAAGTTAAACAAAATATCAAAATCGTATTGCATATATATTTGTTTGGTTTTAATCGCGAAACTGTTCGTTTTTTAAAATAACTCAATATTTGTTTGATATATATGCTTAAATAACAATCATTTGCTTCAATATGAAATTCGGTTTATTAGAAAGTAGTTCTTTGGAACTTTAATTCAGACAACGATGCTGATTAACATCACTAACAGAATCGATAACGTCATCAACCGATAACACGCGCGTGTTTTTTGCCGGTGACCGTATCTATGTGCGTTATTTAGAATATTTTTAATTATATCTTTAATTCGAGATGAACACAAAAGCTAATATGAGCTACCGAGAGGTTATACCCAAAAATATAAACCCAGAAGAATGGATCGAAGTCGAAATAAATACAGGTGCGTTAGATGGTACCAACAGCCAGGTGTATTTTTTAGCGTCGTCCAGAAGTGTCTCATTAATTTTGATAAATGTTGCTTGTATTGTTGTCTAACCAAAATAGGCACACAAAGTACGCTGCAGGATATAAAGACTTTTGGAAAGTCAGGCAGCTATTGCTACGATTTTCTTGCCAATGGCCAAAACAGGAACCGATTTATATATTGGTAAACATTGGTAGCTATGTACATACATGATTTACATATGGCTAATTGTTCTATCCACATATCGCAGGCGCACATATCAAGATGTCGTGGAACTTTCCGAGGTCAGCCTGGATATTTCGCTTCTGAAAAACCATCTACGTCTACGCTTTACGGACTCCGCAGTGTTAAATGTCTCGTTGTCCGAGCAGACAAACACCGTCACCCTTTTGGTGGTCACCGTCAGTAGTGTGCATCGGATTGTGTTTCCACTACAGATGGAAGCATCTTCAGCCTGTGTTGCTCCGGCGGATTCCCAAAGGAATTCCATTTTCTATGATGCAAACGCTAACAACTTGAAGGATCGCAGCACATTTTATGTGCTCGATGGAACCATGGCTATTAGTGTGCCACACCTCGCAGCTTCCGATATGTCCGAGAATAGTCAAGAGGCATATTTCGCAGTTGACTACCATTCAAAGCTCATTCTTAATATTATGAACTGTCGGACCGGCAGCACAATTTCGCACGAAGTGAAGGAGTCTCATTTAATGCCGCGTTTTCTATCAAACTTGAAAGGCGCTTTAACGTGGGTCCCCATATTGTTCATTTTGCTCTAAATAAATACATTAAACAAATGTCATTGCAGGGGTCGAGGAGAACATTTGGAGGGAGCCATTTCCATGGCTTTCAGCCGCATTGACGGAGAGATGTTTTTATTGGTGCTCTATCGAAATAATGAACTACGCTTGTGGTCGGTTTCCACTTTGCAAAGTGTTGCCTCATATAGCTGTACAGAGTCCCAAGGCGCTCAGGGCCGTAAGTTTTCTATTTTTTCGTTTAAATCTAAAATTAAAATATATTTATATTAATCATTCAATTTATCTTTTTTAGCCCAAAATAGTTTGCTGCGCAAAATCGATGATCATAATTTTTGTGTATTTTTGTCGCACGAAAAGGACTCTGAATTTATTTGCCTAAGCATCGTGTGCAAACTGAGCGACATGAACACAAAAACCGTGGGTCTAGCTGTGCGTCATAAAGTGCCAGCTCCGCAAATGGATTTGGCAGATTTCGATGCAACTTTCTCTCATATTTGGACGCTGTGGAGCAATGCTGAAGGAGATTTTAATGTTTCGGCAATTTTCTTGGATGCCGACAGCTCAATTAAATGGGTGTCTGCTGCATTGGAACCACCGCCGGATCGATATTGTCTTACCATGGAACAGGGCGTCGATCCACGCGAAGCATACTGTTCCTACATATTTCATCCGGGTCGATTTGATCGAAACGTGATCGCCAAGGCACTTTATGTAAGCTCTTGTTTAGATGTTGCTGAAGCAAAGATAACCTGTGTTTCCCTTGCAGATGTTCAGACGCGTCAACATGCAGTTCGATATAAAGCAACTGACAATGGGCATGCTTAAGGAGCAGGTCTGCCAGACAGTCGAAGATGAGATTCAAAATGAGCTGAAAGATTTCGTTGTCAGCGACGATGAATATTTAGAGATTGCGACCAGGCTCTGGGATCGTTTCTACTCCTGCTGTGAGCAATACCACATTAAGTTTTCCGAGCCGACAGGCCTGTCTGTTTTGGGCGCCATGGATGCTGTTTGTGTTATCAGAAGGCAATCGTTTGCATTGCTCCGCCCGTGTGAAATGCTGGAACACCTAATGCTTGTTGGGGAGAACACAAGAGATGTAGCTGCGTTTGTAGCGCCCTATTGCCGAGATGATCTTGTGGCGGCCCACGGCTTTATTGAACTAATGGAGGTCATCAATCAATTGGAAAAGTTGTTAAGTGAAGATATCAAACTGGAGTTGGATAAAAAAATTTATCAGAGGAATGATAGGGTGCTTACAAACTTGTTGGTTCAAATCACTAAGGGCGATGATAACATTGATGATAACGATGGCATTAACCTATCAACCGACTGCGTGGAGCAAATAAGGAAAAAGCTACAATCGATCAATATTGTGGATGCAGCCATTAATATGCTGCTTGATTTACTCGCTATTGTTGACGAAGATGCTTATCCAGATTCTGCAGGTATATTACGATCGCTTGACTTCATTTGTATATCGCCTTCATAGATGTTACTCTTTAAATGTTTTTAGGCGGTCAATCAAAGTCGACACGCTTTTTGCAATCAACTGGGGCATTGTTTGGCAGTGAATATGGAATTTCCATTCTAGCCGAGACGGTCAAGCAAATGGCAATGATACGGTATAATATTCTTTGATCTACTTGATCTTCTTTGATTAACTAATTAATTGTGTTTTTAGCTTTGCCGTTTGCCGCAACCTTTTAATTCTGCAGTACATACTATATGGGAATGTTTCTAAGAGCGACTACACTATTATGACGAATATAAATTTCTTGCACTCCTATTACACACTTGTCTGGATCTCTGAAACACCTATTTCGCTGAACACGCCAGTTAATTTGTAAGGCACAGCAAAATTCAGAGAACTGCTTTCAATTTATAACATTTTTTCCATCTGCAGTGAGGTGTCTATACAGCGTCTGACGCGTGCACAGCTCTTTAGTGGATATACGAGGCCATATTCGAGCCAAATACGTTTAAATAACCAAACAACGCTGCTTTGCTTGTTTCTGCAATCAAAGGGGTTATTTAGCGCCCTATCGATGCTGCTAAAGGAACCCAATTCGTTGGTGGATCAGTTGTCAATGCGTCAGACTCTACTACAGCTGGTTGGTTGCATCAATCAAATGCTGTAAGTTTTAATGCATTATTTGCTTTTGTTTACCTTGCTAATTGACATTTAATTACAGTTGGCCCGAGGCTTGGAATGACGTGTTCCCAGAGTGGCTTTTTGGCACATGCCATCACATTATCATTCAGGACTATGAGCGCCTGCTCGCTGGTTGGTGTAACGAGAAAGCTGATTCGCGTATGTATATAGCTGTTTGAGTTTTGTATATTTAATATTTATATAATAATCTTTTGGATTATCTTTTCAGGTAGCTTCATGCTGGCAGTTTCCCTATTAGATTGCGGCGAGCCGCAAAAAGCTATTCATCTCTTCGAGCAAGTTCAAGAGAGTGTGCTTAAGGAACCACTTTTGTTTGAACAAGTGCTGAAGAACACGCCGATCTATACCAAGCTTTCGGGCATCCTTAGCAGACAGAAAGTTGTACCAACAAAAGAAGAGTCCAAAGTGGCTTTGGTACATTATTATCTGAAAGTTATTCAATTATTTGAACAACATTCGGCATTCGATTATATCATTCAGTTGGCCCACATAGCTATGAACAAACTGCATGTAGACGATCAGCAGTTGCCAATGTTCCAGTCAATAGTATTTAACAACCATTTGCAGCTGGGCCACTATGAGGAGGCCTATCATGCTCTGGTCTATAACGCAGATACATCGCGGCGCAAGGATTGTCTGCGTCAGTTAGTCATAATGTTGTTTCAGTGCAAACGCTTTGATCTGCTAATGCAATTGCCTTACAATGGCCTGCAAGAGGAATTTGAGAACATTGTGGAATCTCGGGCGCGCTCCTTGAGCATCGATCAGAACGAAGTCTATAATTTTCTATATGCATTTCATGCCAACAAAGGCAATATGCGCAAAGGTAATGTCTCTCTGGAAATAATTAACGAAATTTATACGAATAAAGTTCGCGTTTCCCACAGCTGCAACTGTTATGTATGAGCAGGCCATGCGCCTTCAGGTGGACAGCGATGCACCTGACGCGCTCCAAAAGCGCTGCTCCTCATTACTGGTTTGCATAAATTGCTTGTATTTGGTCGATACACGATATAGATGGATTGCTAAACCGACAATTGGCGACGAGAAGGTGGCTACGGATCAGGCTAATATCGAGCAGCGCTCTCTGGAGACTGGCAAAACCAACGAAGTCATTGTACTGGAGTTAACCGACATACGTCGGGAGCTGCTGCACGCAGAGGCCCTAAGAGAGCTTGCCCACCATCGCAAAGATGTGGCCGCCTATGAAATGGCTGGCGCCGAAGAGCTCTCCTATCTCTTAGCCACCTGTGGCCTATACACGGCAGCATTGAAGCTTGCACGTGGTCATGCGTTCTCGGTGCTGCCAATATTTGAGAGTCTGGCAGCTGCATGCGTTAGCACCACTGAGGATAAGACTAAGGATGCTTGGGCTTGGTTGCAGAACAATGATTTAGCAGGTATAAGTTCGAAATTATTGTTTCGTATTCGTTAAATCTAAATCTAAATGTATGGTACTTTTCAGACCTTGCCCATCGGAACAGTGCAGCTGACATGGCTTGGTCATTGCTGCAAAAACTGGTTGTCGACAACGAGCTCAATGAATCAACATCAATACGAAAATGCGTCGTTAACCGAATACTCACTTTGAATGCATTTGTGCCACAATGGCTGAATGATTCCTACAAATTGGCTAACTCTCGAGAGTTGCTCCATCTGCTGGTGAAGCACAATCGTTTGCTCGATGCCGCCGATTTGGCATGTGAGATGATTGGCGGCATGCTGGGGGCAGGCAGTGAATATTTCGACTTTAAGCACTCAGTGAATGTGACTAATCCACAGCTTGCGTTTCCCATCAATACCATCGATCTGCTGTTGCACGGCTTGCAAGTAAATGGCAGCAAGCACATGGAATACGAGATGGTAATGTCACCTCCTCCATTTTAGTCATTTTTATACGCAAATACAATATTCGCCACTTTTCATTTGCAGGCACATGTCAAGCTCGAGGAAGAAGTTGCCCGATACATTGAGACTGTGAAGCGCACCACAGACGACAAAATGAAGTTAGCCATTCTAACAGACCGAGAAAATCGACAGCAACAGCAAATTTTCGGTTAAGCGCTTCGCATGTATTGAATGGGCGTAATAAAAAGTATAATATAATAATGTTAGAAATCATCTGTCATTACCAGTTCGGCAAGAAACTTTTTGTAGATGTTCATAAATTGGGCCACAAAAGCCTCCAAATGGAATATATGTTTCGCACCGTTCTGCATGCGATGCTCGTATTGTGTGGCGTACTCCAATGTCTTTGCCTTAATTGACATATCACAATTGTTGACCAGTTGCTCTACGAGGCCACGGAAGATAAGATTGGGTGGCACACCCTGCGAAAGTAACTCATACAAACGATCGCGTATTTTTTCCAGTTTGGCGGGTGTTTGTTCGCTCACAATTTGAGCTGCAGTCTCACGCAGATACACTTGCCAGTCCAGCTCGGCGATTTGCTGCTGCGCTGTGAACGGATATTGCTGGACTTTGGATGCCTCCAGCATCAGTAATGCCCTTCGCATATTACGTTCCGATTTCTCTACCACGCGCTTGGCCAGCTCTGGCGGCAATACCAGACCTTCGCGTTTACATGTGTTTTGAAGCACAGCTGTCATTTCGTTCTCGCTGGGTGCTGGCACGCGAATGCCCAAGCAACGCGACCGGATGGCCGGAATGATGCGAGATGTGGAGTTGACCGACAGTATTATGCGGCATGTGGCTACGTACTTTTCCATGGTGCGACGCAGCGCATGCTGAGCGTCCTTGGTTAGTTCATCTCCTTCAGAAATTACAATAACTTTGAATTCCCGTTGACCATTAATGTCGATTTGATGCGTTTGTGCCACCTGCTTGATCAGGTCTATAACAACAGTCCGGTCGTACATGCCGGCGTCCGAGGGATTCACCTCCAAATGGTAATTGCTGCCAACTGTCATTACCTCGATCTTACGATTTGAGGGCGTTGTGAAGCTCATTGTTTCGTTGCGCAGTCTCTCCACGCCGGCACCATACATCTCACGCAGCAGGCACATTATGCGTGTCTTCTTGCCTGCGCCAGATGGTCCATAGAACATTAGATGAGGAAAATCACTTTGCTTGCAAAGATTGCGCAGGTTTTCCGCTTGGTCCTAAAATCACAATATATTGAGTTATGTTTGTAGAAGTATATGCGACAAAGTTTTATTCACCTTGTGATAATCCAATTTGGATAACTCACGGGGCCGGTATTTGTCTACCCAAAGTGCCATCAAAGCTTATTATTTAGCACATAAAACACTTTATAGCGAAAAATATATAAAATTTATGCCGGCTTCACTTGTGCAATGCGCGCTTTTTTGCGATTAAACAATCGTTCAGCCGTGAAAAAGTATCGATAACATTCTTGTTCGTAACTATCGAAAGTATATGAAGAACTGTTACTTTTTGGATACATATCACGGCAGCGGGATATTTGAATTAGCTTTTTTTTTATTGTAACCAATATTAAAATATAGCCGAAAACGAAAATATTTGGTACGTGTTATTTTGATTGACAATTATGATAACGAATTTTTTGGATTGGTATCCCAACGATCTTAATCAATAACTTCTACCTTGACAACCGTCTCATCGTGGGTGCGAGAATGTCGGGAAAGATTCGCCTTACTCGAAAATGGTTTATAACAAATATTGCAACTATAAGGACGCTCGCCCGTATGCGTTCGCAGATGTGTGTAAAGTGTTTTGCGTGCTCCAAATGCCTTTCCGCAATTGTTGTGAGTGCATACAAAGGGACGCAATTTAAGATGAACTGCATCGTCATGCTCTTTGAGATGGCAAAGCTTTTTAAATTTTCGTCCACATGTGCTGCACTGGTAGCCCTCCCTGTTATTGTGTCGAGCCATATGAGCGTCCAGATCTTCTTGGCTGGCTCTGTCATGCGAGCAGATCGGACATCGAAATTGAGTGCTCGCTAAATGGTTATTCATATGAAGATTCAGCTCTGTCTTTTGCCGAAATGATTTTTCACAAATTTTGCATACAAAAGGCCGCTCTTTTGTGTGACCCATTATATGAATACGTAAGGTTCTAGCCAATCCAAATGAGCGCTGACAAAAGTCGCATTTGTATGGACGCAGGCCTTCATGGACCAATCTTATATGATCTTTCAAGTGCGTTTTCCTCTTGAACTCGCGCTGACAATACGGACAAATGTTTTCTGCGTTGGATAGAGTTACGACTGTGTTATTCATTTCAGAATCACTTTCCTGGGCAAGATCCTGTTCTTTTGTGCTGGTTAACTAAAAATACAATAAAAAAGTAAATAATATCATCAATAACATATTTTTTTTTTACTTTACACCTGGCATGCACACAGGTGCCTGTTAGGCGACTTTATGACTTACATTGATTTCACTTTTTTCATTTCGATTTTCATCCACAATATTAGGATAATCTGTTTTAATTGAGGAATCCAGTTCTGGTATATCGTCTGTGTTTGACAATATAGTAGATACAAAATATTGTTGGCTTTCTTGTAATATCCTTTGAAATTCCAGGAATGTTTTACATTTTTGGGAGCAATATTTACATATGATCCCTGCCGGCTTATTATCAATTAGTTGTATTTTATCAGCTCCTGTGAATATAAGGCGCATCAAGTTCTGCAGCTTGGGTGAGTTTTCGATCGAATTAGCATTATGGTCCGATTTAATTTTAAAGCATGTAGCACATATCATTTTAACTTTAGCATCGTCCGTTAACTCAAGCTTTTCAGCTGTTAATTCATTAAGAGCGACACCCGTACAAATGGACATCTCTGCAAATTTACGAAAACTGCCAACTTGTGTGTAACAGGAATGACACAAACGGGTTGGCATTGCCAACTGCATTCCCGTTCTCATGGGCTGTAATCCATCTGCCATTAATTCAACAATGCGTAAGAGTTGCGGATCGTCTTTTAAGTCATGTCGAAGTTCCCTTGTGTTTTCTAAATTTCCTAAATCTTGCAAGCACGCTCTGCAGAAGTTATCCACTGTAGCACGGGTTATTGGCAGCATCACGAAATGCGCTCATTTATTTGCAGATGTTAACCAGTTGGAGTTTAATAAAGAACTGAGTTTGTTTTTATGTAGAGTATGTACAAGTGCTGTTAACCAGCACTGCCAACCTGTTCAAATGCAATAACAGCTGCATTAGGCACAGCTGATTATTAGGCGCCTACTTAATATTTCAAAAGTAGTCTATCAAAATATTTACATTTAATTACATAAGATGTTCACGTATACAACACTAAAAAATAGCTTCTTTTTGGCCGACAACCTTTTAACTTAGTCTAAGAATTCAACACGTCATTGGCTAGCTCAACGCCGACAAAAACGGCCGCGGTTGAAGGAAAAGCGCGTATCAGTATAGGCAAAACACCGCGGTACAGCGCCTTGGGACCTTCTGTGGCCATGAGTTCTCGGAAAACGCTGCGTATGCCATGCGTATATGTACCCTCGGGCGCTGCATAAGACAAATAAAGTAACGTTAATAAGTGTTAGGCATATACAAATATATGAGCATTTGCTAACTGACCAGATTGTAGTCGACTTTTAAGTACATCAAAAGGCACAGCCAGGGACCAAAATGCAATGCCAGCCGTGCCGCCAGCAAAGATGGTTGAGGTCGGTGTTATTTGTCCCGTTGTCGAGCGCCGTCTGGCCAAATCCTGTAAGCCCTCATAAACAACAAAATAAACACCAGTGGGTGAATCTGTGGGATACAATGTCATAAAATGCATGTGTTGATACAAATGATGCTGCACTAACCTCTCAGCACGCAAGCGCAGGTACCTTTGAAGAGACTACGAAGGCCGCCCTGCCTGTACAGCTTTATGGCCGTATCCAGCGTGCCACTATACATAACTGGGCCTGTGACCGGTTGCGTTTGCAGCAACACCTTAATACGATCCGATGGCACAGTGACCAGAGCTGAGCAAATGCCCGCACCAACGCCGGCAATGAAGATTTGTGTGTACGTTAGCTTTACATGTTCGTCCGTTTGAAAGAGACGCTTGCCCGCCGCATAGACAGCAAAATCCACAGCATAGATGGGCGTCACACCGACCAAAGGCGCTGAAATGCCTCTATAAAAGCCTCGAACGCCTTCGGTGCTGAACGTTTTAACAGCACAGTCGATAATGCCTTTATATTTGGGCGGCTGTCCAGCTGCGGGCAATGGCATTGTCTGCAGCCGCACCTGAAAGTGAACTAATTTTAAGCATTTGTTTTTCACCATTTAATAAACATTTTGAAAACATACCTTAATTGTGTCCAAAGGATAGCCTGTGAGCACACTGCAAATGCCTCCAAAGCCGCCAGCTATGAACGATTTGACGGGATTCGCTTTGTGATCTGCTGTTGCCGCTGCCATGACGAACTATGTATTTACGTAAACAATTCCAGAATATCGTCAGCCACTCTTTTATGCTTACTAATTGATACATGCACGTGCGATGACGGCTGCTTGGGTTATGTTATCAGTTGGCTGAGCTGTTGCCTATTTATGCTAATAAAATTGGAAATTTCTGTAGCAAGTTCAACATCCATGGCAAAGGCACAATACAAGCAGTCTTATCAAATAAAACCATATGCTTAATGGGCAGCCAAAAATTTACATTACAGTTTGCTAAACTGTTATTAACAGAGAGCACTAATCTTTGCTGTTCAACGCTTTTTGTTCATTTGTCAGTGTTCTGAAATGTCATAAAATTAATTTGTTACTGCAATTTGGTTTAAAGAAAATATAAATTAGGTTTGGCGGCTTGTTTGGAGAAAACAAACAAAACGGCGCTTGAAACTTGGACTTGGAATAAACAGCTGATAACCGGCCCAAATAACTGCCTCTTAAAATAGATAACGTAGCTCCGTTAGCGAAGAACAGTGGAGATAACAGATAATTGAAAACAAATCTTACTTCATTTTTACCTATTTGAACACGATGAGTCAAATCATGATGCGTAATACTCTTGTATACAATTTTGATTGAGTTCTTAAATATGCTGGAAATTGAATGTACCTTTGTTTGGCGATTTAAAATAAATCTACTTTGAGGATTATCTTTCGAAAAGGAATTTGTTTATTTTGAAAACGATATCTTTCGACAATTTTGAATTCATTAGCAACTATTATAAATTTGGTGTCTTAAGGCTACGGCTCCTAGTATGCGGATGAGCTAATGGTCAAAAAAATGTCAAAGTATCTGAAACTGTAACATAATTTGTTTGACATTTGAAAAAAAATACAATTGCGAAATCGCCTATGCTTAAAATCGTTTATCGAAAATCGACATTCACTGCGATTTCCATCCAATATTTATTTAAACTTTTAATGAAAACAAAGAAAAAAGTTAATTTATCTATGCAATAAACACAATCTAAAATGGTTTTTGAATACAATTATACAACAATAATTTAATCAATCACACGCCCCAACAATACCAATTTCGTGGCTATCGTGCTATCGAGTGTGCCTAAGCAGGGCTGGCTAAAGCGAGCTGAAATTGTTGCGTATGCGTGTGCAAAGCATATGCATAGCATATTTAATTGTTTAAAACGATCCTTTTGTGCAAAAAGTTGTGCAAAAACATATGTAGAACTTATGTCTGATACAGGTGCGCTGGAATTATGTATCAGTTGTAGTGCGATCTGCAGTGGCAGGCGCAAAAGAAGAAAGTGAAGCTACAACAACAACAACATCGACAACAACAACAACATCATCATCATCAGCAGCAGCAGCAACAAATTTTGTAAAAACAACAAAAGCGAAAAGAAAAATACATATATATTTGTACACAAGCAACGCACACGCAACGTGCTCGCATCAGCCCAAAAATTAAAAAACGTTTGCAATGTCCAATGGTGACGATGTGCTAGACAACTGGGAAGAAATTGACGAGGCAGGCGTGAGTATTGAATGACATTACAACAACAGCAACAACAAAATCGTCGAAAATGCTCTCTCGAATCTCTTATAGCTTTGCATGACGCTGCAAACGAAACTGCAAACCGCCAACGACGACACCAGTAGCAAGTTTAAGCCCGCCTTGACAGCTGAACCCGCTGCAGCAGCAGCAGCCGCCGCCGCCGCCTCAAGCAAAATGAAATTGCTACAGCGCCCACAGAGCCTGCAGGAGGGCAGCGGCACAATGGCGACGGCCACGGCCGTTGCGTTGGCGCCCAAGCAAATAATGATTGCCAAGAAGCCGCCGCCAGCGCCGTCGTTGGATGATGAATCGAGCACAGTGCCCGTTATGATGGTACTGCACAAGTCTAATAGCGAGTATGATGCGGCCAATTATGCCACACCGATTAGCAACCAAACGGTAAAGATATTGCGCAGACCCGCACAAGCCGAAGAACGTCGTGATACAAACGGTATACGACCCAAGCAGCCCATCAAGACGCTGCAGCAGCGGGAACAGGAATATGCGCAGGCGCGTCTGCGCATACTGGGCAGCGCCAAGAATCCCGAGGACGATAAGCCGTTAGTATATAACTATATAATACTGCAACACTTCATGCAGATACACAACACTTTCATTCGATTTTTTATGTTTATCGTTAATGTTGTCTGGCTTTATACCCATGCAGTGGCTATTTTATTATAAATTAGTCAATCGAAGGAGACTAGGAGCCAGGATAAAGCTGTGTCCGTCTGCTTGAATGAAAACTAGCCTCCCTTCACAATATAATATAGCTTTTGTAGTAAACAAAAATCGGGCAAAGTTCAGTTTTCCTAAGAACAATTTACTTTTTGTGCTGAAAATGTAACTCTCTTTATTAAGCTTAATACTTATCAGCATCTGCCAACAATTGGACGAGTGAAACAATATATATTGAATCTGCAATTTTTATTTAAGCTTCGCGGCTCCGAAGATAGCTGCTCGTGTTATCGATACTACTGAAACTATCCTCTAATACCTTTGATATTATACCCGCGTTCTTACGATCGCATGTTAGTTTTTACTTATAACTAAGTTCGAAAAACTAAACTATGTCTGGCTTTAATACGCAGTGCTTCGCCGACAACGCTAGTGGTGCTATCAACCCCAGTTCAAGCTGAAGTGCCTACGCCGCCCGCAACTTTCAACTTTAACAACAACAACAACAACAGCGGCAACAATAACAACAGCGGCATTGTTGCGACTGCTGCACCTGGCATGCATCGCTCCAGTTCGGCGCCAAAAATGTCGCAAACAGCGCCCATCTACAACAACTATAACAACTACTATCAGGCGCCGCCGACTCAAGCAGCCATGGGCTACTATTATCAGCAGACACCTTCCATGCATCAGCAACAGCAGCAGCAGCAACAACAAACGCCACCACACTATAACCAACGGATGTCTCCATATGTTGCAGGCGGAGCTGCAGCAGCAGCAGCAGCGGCAGCGCCACCAACCCCCAACTCTCAGCAGAGTTGGTCGCCAGTTGTCGGTGGTAGCGTCTCTGCGGCGCTGCTGCGTCAACAGTCGTTGCATACGACGTCGTTGCAACAGCATCAGGCGCCGCCACCGCCGCCCCAATATGCAAATCCTTATAATGATAATGTCTTACGGTTGCCACGTGGTCCGTGTCCCAATGGCACAATTGGATTTCAGATGCGTCGGTAACAGGCGCCTGGACGCAACAAAAATTCTTTTATTTCTATTATCCCATGCCAATTGAACGCATGCATTCAAAATTGTCATTCTGAGATTGCATTAAGTAATTGTTTTGCTTTATATATTTATTCATTTTGTTTGTGGCACATCGTAACGCTGCAGCAACTACTATGTAAACAAATTTATGACGGAGTTTGGTAGTTATCTTGTAAATTTTACAACAACAACAAAAACAATACAATTTTTTAATGCCTACTAATAATAATAACAAAACAAACAAATGCAAAACCGAATGAAAAATACATATTTTACAAATCGAGCAAATGTTACTTGATCGACTGTTTTCCAAAAGTCAAAGCGGCTTAAAATTTCTTTATAATATTAAATGGCGTGTTCCTATTACAGATTAAGTAAGTATTTAGACTTCGGTCCAGATCACACTCTCAACAGACTGTGGCTTAAACATTTTTTGAGATCTCTGGAGACTATGAGTCTTAGGATCTGGTAAAAGTATTTAAGCAAATACAAAAGAAATTCGCATTTAAAGAATGACCAGTAATTGTAGAGCTATTTTTAAGTATTTCAGGACAATTTCAGACTGAGCTTTAAAAGGCGCCCTTATTCATGCAAGCCCGATTACATTATATCATATATAAAATCAATCTCGGAAATCAGAGCACCTAATGCAATAGACGCGTTGAATTTAAAATTCTAATTTTATAAGACGAACATTTTCATTGTTTTCAGTTTTAAGACCAAGAGTTTGGAAAATCCTATATGGCATATTAATATAATAATTTTAAAATACAGCAGATAATTATTTAAACAGGCTTCAAGAAATCACCTACACAAAAAAATTCGTTAATTATTGAGCAATCGCGGTAACTGTATCAGGATAGTTAATGATAATAAGAAATATACAAAAATCAAAACAAATAAAAATATATATTTACATATATAATCAATATTGAAATTAAATATTTTTTTTGGAACAAGTACGATGATCTCTGGCTGTATTTATTTCCGTAACTGATATAGGGCCATAAATTTGAGATGACGATCAGTTAATTCACTTCAACGAGCTTAAATATGAATTTTATTTGAAGTGTGTTTTTATTTCCAGTTTCTCCAAATTTTACACATCTTGTTCGATTTTGTTATGATTGGAAACAGATAATCAAAAAAGCATAAAGCATGTACATTAAAAACAAGTAAAAAAAAACACTTGACTTGAATAATTAACGTCAAAGCCGTGCTGATAGCTGTTGATGCATTTAGCCCCACACGGGGATGTGCGGTTAAGGCCCCGAAAGGTTATCGATGTGTTTTTGTTATTTCTCCGCAGCTTTTCCAGAATAGCAAAATCAACGAACTGCATTGCAGCGAGCGGACGACGCCAACGACTTTCCAGCCAGTTTCTTATCAGCAACAGGTAGCAACGTTCAATATAAGTGCGAGAGAGAAAGAGTGAGAGAGTGGGAGAGTGGGAGAGTGGAAAAAATAACACACCCAACTGACATCGCAGTTGGCACTGCGGATCGACTTACCTAGGCTCGACTATTTGGACTTTTGCCTACACATAAAAGATTTAATGCAATCCAGTTTCAGTTGAAAACGCGGCGTCGTGCGGTACGGTTTATTAATCAAAGAACGACGAAAGCGGCATAAGAAGAATAACTGAAAAACAGTTTTAACGAAGCTACGCTCATTCACTCTCTCGAACTCGCTCTCTGTGTGCGTGCGTGCTGAAACCCAAACAGATTCTACAAAACGTGAACACGTGGGCACGAGGCAAACGGCAAAAAACAATATAATAATATTTCGTGAATAAAACGTGCACAGGTTTTGATTGTTGTATTTGCGAATAATAAAAAAAAAAATGTCGCATAGCGTGTTGGTCATCGGAAGCGGCGGACGCGAGCACGCCATCTGTTGGAAGCTCACACAGTCGCCGAAAGTTGCGCAGATCTATGCGCTGCCCGGCAGCTTTGGCATTGCGCAGCTGGGCTCAAAGTGCCAAAATGTTGGCGCTGACGCACTGGACCCGAAGGATTTTGAGGTGAGTGCAGCGTACGCTGCGGAGGTTCGTGGTTGCAATTGTTTAAATCCACTGCAGCCACACTGTGCGCGTCCTTCACTTAACCTTCGTGCCGGGCTTAAAGTTACATTGCGCGGCCGTCTGTCTCAGAGACAAGTGTTGAAAATGTTTTCGCCAGTGGATGCTGCAGCTGGCGCTGCGCCGCGCATTTTTCAACATTTTATTGCTCTTTTTTGCTTTTGAGGCCTGCTCTTGACATTTTTTTATGGTACTCGGTTAATTTGGTTTTAATGCTAACCGGGGCTCGTAAATGAATCCAATCAAAACCGTAGCAGTGTCCAATCTTTGCAATCTCTAACTGAATGCGCGTGTATGTGTGTGTGTGTGCGTGTGTGAATATTAACCCTTATGCTTTATGGGGCATTTAAGCGCACATTCATCGTTTTGTCGTAAGCCCAAGTGCCGAATAAAAATTAATATAATTATTAAAATGCAGTTTTAATTGTATTCAATATAAAAATACTCTTGATTATACTATTTAGCTTCTGAAATTATAATTGAGTAATTTATTTGACAATAAATGAATGTATGTGAGATCAATCATATTTATTATATATTACGAGTAAAAAACATATACGGCGGTTTTGCTATTTTGAATGACTGACTGATTGACAGATTGATCAAACCTAATCGCTGAAATTTTATTTTTATTTTATTCTACTTGACGATGTTTGTCTTGTCATCGCGATATCTTTAACCTGCGTGGCTTTGGTGTCTGAGCGTCGGCCTGGCAAACAAATTATTGTGGGTTCAATCCGCGTGCATTACATTTGGTTTTTTCATATTTGTTAATAATGAAGCTAATGATAAAATTGAATTTATGTATGGCTAACTCTTTTAGACGGCTTTTATGCGTACTTCATAAAGTCTGGGATTATTTACATTAGTCGAAAATAAAACCGAAGTAATAATCTAAAATAAAAAAATAAATAAAAATAACATTAATCGAGAAAAAAAAGAAGGTGGGCTGCTTATTATGACTGTTTCCTGCATAGGGCATAAGGCAGAAGAAATACTCTTCATTTCTTTTATTTTGTCATGGAAAGAATGTCTTATTTATATAATGTATATAAATACACGTGTATAAAGATAGCTTCCATGATTACCTAGGCTATACGCGCTGTTGCCAGCAGAGTCTGTTGATTATCATTTCATATCAGCTAGACAAAATATTAAAATATAAATAGTTCGAAGCATCTAGATGATGAGATTGTGCTGATACGATGGATGGATTACAAGCTTATAGACATCTAACTAATATTAAAGCAATATAATTATTATTTTAATAAATATGTGTTCATTAAGTAGAGTGCTTTAAGAGAATTATTAAATATGTTTAGTCGCACAAATCGAAAAATTTTTATTGTGTAGGACTCTTTAATCCAAAAGGCGGCAGATATTACTAAAGAGTGAACAGGGTATTGAGCAGTCGGCTGCTTGTGACTGCAGTTGTATTTTTCACTTGTTTCAATTTAATATTGATTTCTCAGTCTATTTGAAAGCTTGATTTCAATTGCGACATAAATTCCGTTACCTATTAGCAGGTGGATTAGCGTCTGCCCGACTGGCGCCTTAAACAGAGGCGCCCATAAACAATTCCATTTGCTGTCTCATATTTCTGTTATAAACTCATTTTGCTTGGCTTAACACTTCTATTTATTGTCGCTTAATTAATTGTTTAGATCAAATTCACAGTTTGTGTGTGTGTGTGTGTTTGGCTTCTCTGCAAGTTGCCAATTCCCTGTCGGGCCCGCGCCCCGCCCCCCGTTGCCGCCGCCAAATCTTTCAATCAGCGTCGTCGTCTGCTCGCCAACTGAGTTGTGGGCGCATGCGTCAGACGGATCACCTTGGGCGTGGTGCTGGACCGGGTGCGGGGCGTTGTGGGCTCCTGAATGTTGCGCTCGTATACCTTGAAGGCCTCCGCATCGTGGGCAACTGTCTTAATTTCGCCCGTATAGTAATCCTTGATTTGGTAGGGATGTTTGCGTATGTACTCCAGCGAGCGCAGTATATAATCCGGCACCTTGGGTATATGATCGCCAACGGGATAGTAACCCTTCTCATCGGCCACATAGCTAATGCTGATGGGCGTGCCCTCGGGCGAGGTGTAACTGGAGCCGCCCTGGACCGCAATGCCTCCCAGGCCGGACTGTTCGCCCGCAATGCCATTGGACGTTTCATAGGCATACCGATAGCTGCCATCCGGACTCACATCCAGCTCGTTGTGCAAGGTGCGCGTATTGCGATCCGAGTCGGGTATATAGACGCTGGCCTGGATCGCAGCCGCCGCGCACAAGAGTTGAATCTACAAGATTGACACGGCTGATTAGCTTAAAATAAATGCAACTGGGCTGAGTATCTGAGGTATCTTACAAGCAGATTAAACAGCATTTTTTCGTATATGATTTTTAAATTATTTATGTAAATTATTTTAGTTATTTATTTATTTTTTTTTTTTTGGAAATCTCGAATCACTTCGCGGTTGTTCGTTCTAGCGCTTTAAATCAACGACTGTTTGGCTGCTTTTGGCATGCTTTCGTTTTTATATCCAATTCGCTCGCGGTAATTTTTTTTATATTTTTTGGGTTTTTGTTTTTGTTTTTTTTTGGCATTTTTGTCTCTGCGTATTGGAAGCCCAGCTCCAAGAGCGAAGGCGGCGCCGTCGGCGTCGCCGTCTCCAGCCGCTCGTCAGCTCATCTCAAGCGTCACTCATAAATTAAATGATTTTATTTGTCTTATTCTCATCCTCCTTTTTTTTCTTTTTTTTTTAAATTATTATTTTATTACCAAATTGTTTGTCGCTGCAATTCGTATAGATGTGGGCCGGGTTAATTCATTTATTGGCATCCGTTTCGCATGCCCTGCTCGAAGGTTGTGTAGCACTTATTATTTGATATATATTCATATATTATTGTCGCTGATTTTGGAATACATTTATTGCCTTACATTCCATAATTTCTTGTTTTTAGTTTTTTTTGCACGGAAACTGCGAATATTCAAGAGAACGTTGAACTGATCGTAAAAGTAGTTGGGCTAGGGTTTTGAACGGGGCTCGCTTACGAATTGCATTCAGCTAAACAGATCTTAACCTGTTTCCTTTTGCCAAACATATATTGGTCAGATCATTTAATCATTTAACTTGATTATTCTATTATTAAGTGTTGTCAATATGTTATTTGAGCAACATTTAAAATGATTTCATGCCTTAAATGGTTTGCTTCATTAATTAAAATGTCTTTTTACAGTTTTGGCCATAACAAGTGTTTTAGTTGAGGGTGCATGACAGGAAGATACTCTGTACGCAAATCTAAAAAAAAAAACAGAATTTTAGTATTCTATATTACACAACAATTTTACATAAAACAATAATCAAACTTTACGTTATTAGTTTTTTAAATATAGCAAAATACACCAATAAAAAATGTGCATATATTTAAAGGCTTAACTAAAGTTTTGAGGGACTCACAGCTAGAGATTGGAAGAGAAATAGAGAGATAGGGCGAGAGAGCGTGGGAGACTAAAATAAAATAGTACAAGTATGAAAAACGGGGAGAGATACAGAGAGAAAGAGAGAGAGAAGGAGAGAGAGAGAGAGAGGGAGAGAGAGAGAGAGAGCGAGTGAGTGAGAGGGAGGAGAACGGAAAAAAAGAGACTGAAAGTGTGGGTAAAAAAAGCGAAGGTATATGAGTTATGATAAATGGATAGATGGTTCTATAGTATGGTAAACATTGTAGTATAGTAAACATTGTAAAAAACTTCATCTTTTAAATTTTTCAATAACTAGTGCTATCCTAAGAAGATTCTACATTTCAGATTTTGTATTTCGCTTAGCTCGATTCTTACGGCTGTTTCCATTCTTATTCACAAGCCGAGCCAACAAAGCGTAACTAATCTATCACATTTCTGGCCAAAACTCTGAGCTTTGTGTTCTAGCCGGAGCTCATTTGCATATAACATGCAATATAGTAAATCATGTGCAGGTACAGAAAGACAACAAAAAGCCGTCCTTGGCCAAATTTGGAAAGTGGTCAGAAATTCCGAGACTCAGCAGCTTGTAGCAAGAGTATTTCTTCTCGCTGTTTGGGAAATGGATACCTTGGCCGGATTGCCATAAATGGAACTACTAAATGGCTATGCGAAGACGTCACATTTTAGCAGCTGACTTGGGGCCAGACATCAAGATTTGAACGTTCTTGAACTTTGTGGGCGGCCGGAGGACGGGATGAAGGGGAAATGGAATGAAGTGGAGTGCTAACGTGTTAAATGGTCTGGAACGCAGTTGCACTTTGCGTTCGGAGCGGGTAAATCCAATTTGAGATTGGCGCCAAATCGATTAGAACTCAGACTAAGACGCAGCGCATCAGTCACGCTCCGAAACCGGACGAGCAGGGCCCGGATTTTACGATCTGGTTACTCCATCAGGCATAGCTCTTAACTGAGTCAGTTAATCTCTTGCTTGTTGTTGTTGTTATTATTATTAATTTTTTTTGGTAATAACGACATTCACCAATGAGACAATGCACCCAGTTTAATGGCAAAACAATTAGGAAGGAATTTTTTGGTGGCGACAAATTGTTGTCGCCGAAGCCGGCTACAATTTATTGGCTTTAGCTTTATTCTGGGCTTGCCCTGAATTAAGAAATTAACATTTTAAATTGTACCCATACCCTGTACCGCGACTACAAACACAAAAGTAGCTAAAATGGGTATCATTAAGTTGGGCTACAAAATAAATGCCAAGGCAGCAGAAAGATCTTCAATATTTTGTTGACTGAGCATGACTCAAATTTAAAAAATTTTAAAAGTAAATACAATAATTTAGATTATATTCTTTAATTTATTGATTTTTGTATTTATATATTTTGTAAAGATATTTTTATAAAGAATCAAAAAATGCAACGAAATTGTTGTTCTTTGAAAAACGATCTTTTTTTCGGATGCCATAAGATAAATATTTTGTTGACTGAGCACGACTCAAATATTAAAAATTTTAAAAGTAAATACAATAATTTAGATTATATTCTCTAATTTATTGATTTTTGTATTTATATATTTTACAAAGCTATTTATAAACTGCAACGAAATTGTTGTTCTTTAAAAGACGATATTTTTTTTTTCGTATTTTTTTAGGTATTCTTAGAAAAAGAAAATGTCTTGTTTATTGTCTCAAATTCTCAAATAACCCAAAATTTGTGCTTGCTCAGAACTACGCGATTTTTTGTATATGTAGATATTTCTATGCCATATTTATGCTTCACAAATATTATTATAAACACCGAAGTTATTCAAGAACATAATTTCTTTTAGCAAGGATCAGGGGGGAATAATAAGAAAAAACCTTAAGGGCTACTTCTTCTACAGGGTGTCTCATAGTCGGACACATTCTGCCTTACTTGCTTACATTTCAAAATGTGTTGATTTGGATTTTTTCCAGGCCATTGCCAAGTGGTGCACGCAGAAACTGATCTCGCTGGTGGTGGTTGGGCCCGAAGATCCGCTGGCTTTGGGGCTGGGCGATGTGCTGCAGAAGGCAGGCATTGCCTGCTTTGGGCCCGGCAAGCAGGGCGCCCAAATAGAGGCGGACAAAAAGTGGGCCAAGGACTTTATGCTGCGTCATGGCATACCAACGGCACGCTACGAGAGCTTCACGGACGTGAACAAGGCCAAAAAGTTTATACGCAAGTAAATTTCGAGCACAATCGACGGCTAAATAAAAATTATAAAAGCTTCCTCTTTGACATTGCAGTGCACCTTACCGCGCTCTGGTGGTCAAGGCCGCTGGATTAGCCGCTGGCAAGGGCGTCGTGGTGGCCACCCATGAGGATGAGGCCTGTGCGGCCGTTGACGAGATACTTGGCCGGCTCAAGTACGGTGAGGCGGGCTCCACTCTGGTCGTGGAGGAGCTGCTCGAGGGCGAGGAAGTCTCTGTGCTGGCCTTCACCGATGGCAAAACAATTCAGGCCATGCTGCCCGCCCAGGATCACAAGCGTCTGTGCAATGGCGACACCGGACCCAACACTGGCGGCATGGGCGCCTACTGTCCCTGCCCCTTGATTAGCAAGCAGGCCCTGGAGCTGGTGCAGCGCGCCGTCCTGGAACGTGCTGTCAAGGGCTTGGGCCAGGAACGCATCGCCTACCAGGGCGTGCTCTATGCTGGCCTCATGCTGACGCGCGATGGTCCACGCGTTCTCGAGTTCAACTGTCGCTTTGGTGATCCCGAGACGCAGGTAATACTTCCGCTCCTCGAGTCGGATTTATATGAGGTGATGCAGGCCTGCTGCACCGGAAAGCTGGACAAGATCACCCTGCAATGGCGCAGCAGCTTGAGTGCGGTCGGTGTGATCATGGCCAGCGCTGGCTATCCGGAAACCTCGACCAAGGGCTCCCGCATATTAGGTGATTATATAACTTTGTGCATACAAAACTATTCAACGAATTATATGTAGAGAAATTCAGAAAAATTTGACTTCAAATTACTTTTCAAACTGCAGACATCCTGCCTTTAGGATCGTTTCTTGATGCTGGTTTTCCAAGTTTTGCTTTCGAAATTCTAATGAGCCAACCCAATTTGTTACCAACTCCTGAAGAGGGTATTATAATTTTGTCATGAATTTTGACACACATAGAAGGAGACATTTTCGACTCCATAAAGTATATGTATTCCGTCCGTCCGTCTGTCTGTTTCTATGCGAACTTGTCTCTCAGTTTTAAAGCTATCGTCTTGAAACTCTGCTGAGCTCTTTCTGTTGTAGGCAGTTTATATTTCGGAACCAGTCGGATCGGACCACAATATCAAATAGCTGGAGTAGAGCCTAGAATTTACACATTTGTTAAATCCTCAAATGAAGATTGATTATAAATTTAAAGTGTTAACTTATCGAACTTCTCTATTACTAACCTCCCAGGTCTGCCCGAGGAAAATACAGATACCCAACTGATCTTCCACAGCGGCCTGGCCGTTAATGCCCAGAAGGAGCCACTGACAAATGGTGGACGCGTGCTCATCGCCGTTGCCCTGGACGCCAGTCTGAGGCTGGCCGCTGCCCAGGCCACCAAATTGGCGGCGAGCATCAGTTTTGCCGGGGATGGAGCTCAATATCGCACGGATATTGCACAGAAGGCAATTAAAATGTAAATTTTACTACAATATAGACGGCTATATTTAAAGATTCAGTTAGAGCTAAATGATGCCTTGCAAGAATTTAAAAATGGTTGGAAATATATTCTTAAGAGGTTTACGACCCAAGCTGTGCGGGAATAAAGAAATATCAGTTCCAATGCCTGACATAGTATTATATTTTAGCCTTTTTATTTTCTTTTCTTCGTTGTTCTTTTTTCTAATTCTTCCTTCTTAACTATCTATCCAGGACGCCGGCTGCACCGCTCAGCTACAAGGACAGCGGCGTGGATATCGATGCGGGCGACGCCTTGGTACAACGCATCAAGCCTCTGTCACGTGGCACCCAGAGACCCGGTGTCATGGGCGGCCTGGGCGGCTTTGGCGGGCTGTTCCGCGTCAAGGATCTCAGCTACAAGCAGCCTGTGATCGCCGAGGCCATTCAGGGCGTGGGCGCTAAGATACAGTTGGCTCTGCAGAATGAGCTCTACGATCACATTGGCTATGATCTGGTTGCCATGTGCTGCAACGAGCTACTGGAGCTGGGCGCCGAGCCGGTCGCATTTCTGGACTATATTGCCTGCGGCAAGCTGCAGGTGCCCCTGGCCGCCCAACTCGTCAAGGGCATGGCCGATGCCTGTCGGGATGGCCGTTGCGCTCTACTAGGTGAGAGTTAATCTATCAGCAGAACCATTTCTGAGTTATTAACAAAGTGATCAGCAAGGCTAGCTAAGAAAAGAGGGAAGTAATTTTTAACTGGAATCAATTGCGATCAGTTTCTAATGGAAGAATTAAGGTATAAAAGAAGAATTAATTCGATCTCGAACCAAATGCGATCAGTTTCTAATGGAAGAATTAAGGAAGAAAAGAAGGAAGTAATTTTTAACTGGAATCAATTGCGATCAGTTTCTAATGGAAGAATTAAAGATGCGACTGTCAAACGGAAGAAAAGAAGAATTAATTTCTAATGGAAGAATTAAGGAAGAAAAGAAGGAAGTAATTTTTAACTCTAATCAATTGCGCTTTCAAATTCTAAAGGAAGAAAAGAAGAATTAATTTCTTACTCGAATCAAATGCGATCTGTTTCTAATGGAAGAATTAAGGATTCGACTGTCAAAACGAAGTCTTCGCTTTACTAATTGAAATTCCTTTTATTATTTATAGATTTTAGGACAACAGCTGATGAAATCGGCTCCTGTCAGCTATTCTAAATTAAAGAAAGCCAAGCCAAATCTGTCCATCTATATGAAGAGAGCCTAATTACAGATTCATCCTTAAAAGTAGACTGGGCTACCGATCATTTTATTAGAAGCTTAAAATGGTTACTGATCGCTAATTGATCATTAGATAAAGGCACTTAGATCCTTGCTTAAAGGCTTATATAGAGTTACATCTGGCAAAACGGATCAGCTGGAATATGGAAGAAGAATGATCGCTGATCGTTCTTTCAGATTGTTTCATTTGCTTTCAACCAATTAAAAATAATGTATTATAGACTGGGATTATTTAATTTTATTTAGACAGATATCGATCAATTGATCTGATCACATTTAGGCTACGATCGCTCTTACAAATGAGATTTTAAAATTATCTGGCTGATCCCTGATGATGATTAATTTAAGCTGTGATCGCATTTTCCGATAATAGTTAATAGTATTTCTCTATAATTTTGTCACTCTAATCATCTTATGTTTTTGCTGCAAGCGTAGCTTTAGGCTCGCCCTATTAATGCCCATATTTAATACTCCTCTTCCATTTCCCTCCCTCCGCTTGCAGGTGGCGAAACTGCGGAGATGCCCTCGCTGTATGCGCGCGGTCAGTACGACATGGCTGGCTACTGCGTGGGTCTGGTGGAGCAGTCGCAGGTGCTGCCGCGCTTTGACTCGTATCAGGCTGGAGATTTGCTTGTCGGTCTGCCCTCGTCCGGGCTGCACTGTGCGGGCTTCAATGAGCTGCTCATTCAACTGGCCGCGGCTGGAGTCAGTCTCAAGGAGCGCTCGCCCGTCGGCGGCGATCATGGACTCAGTTTAGCTCAGGTGCTGGGCACACCGACGCGCCTCTATGTGCAACAGCTGCTGCCACATCTGCAGGCGGGTGAGATAAAGGGCGTGGCACACGTAACACACGGACTGCTGCCCGACGTGGAGCGCCTGCTGCCCGACAGATTCGAGGTGCGGCTGGACTTTGGTGCGGTGCCCGTGCCCCAGATCTTTGGCTGGCTGGCAGGCCAGCTGCAGCTGAGCGCGCCGGCGTTGCTGGAGCGGCACAACTGTGGCATTGGCATGTTGCTGGTGCTGCCCAAGGCCAGCCAGCTGTGGCACAGCGTATTGCCCGACGCCAAGGTGCTGGGCGTTTTGCAGTCACGCAAGGAGAACGGCGCTCGAATCCAGGTGCGCAACTTTGAGGAGCAGCTGCTGCAGTTGGCGGCGCCATTCGGCGGCTTGGGCGGCAAACAGTTGCCCATGGAGCTGGTGGAGCCGCAGCTGCCAGCGTTAACCGCTGCGAACAAGGATTGCTTTGAGAACGACACCGGACGGCGCCTAACACGCCTGCCCGCCCACTACACGGATCCCATACTCGTCCTGGGCACAGACGGCGTCGGCACCAAACTGAAGGTCGCCCAGCAAACGGGACGCCACGACACCGTCGGCATCGATCTGGTGGCCATGTGCGTCAATGACATACTCTGCAACGGCGCCCAGCCATTCAGCTTCTCCAGCTACTATGCCTGTGGCAAATGGCAGGCCCTATCCGCCGCCGAGGTGGCTGCCGGAGTCCAAGAGGGCGCAAGCCAGGCAAACAGCACCTTGATGGGTAAGTCCAAGTTAAAAAAGCATTCAGGGATTGCAATTATACTTAAGTAGACGAGTCTAAGATATTGAAAGGGGATCCCTTTATGCCAGAGTTAACCGACAGTTAGTATTAGGTCTCTTTCTCTGTCTGTCACTCTAACAAAAATCAAATTCCAAGCCAATTCGAACCTCATTAAATCGTCTGCATCAAGGAATATCTGCAGAACCATACAGGAAATTCTCCATCTGACAACAGAGCGCACGCAAAGCGAAAGGAATAAACTGAGACTTAAATCTGACATACACTCTGGACAAAATCAAATCAAATCCTTAGCGGACATTCCGAATTCCTCAACTAAAACCACGCTAACAGGATGTTGATTTTATGATGATGATTTTCTGTGTGATAAAGGGATAATAGAGAGACCTTCTCTGCGAGGAAATAGACAGACTTTCCCGGCCAACCTTTCTTCGAGACAAAGAGGCATTTGGACTCTCGTAAAACCTCCTGGGTCAAAAGTCATCCAAACCTAATTCCCTCCCCCCTTCCTCGCCATTGGGCAACTTAATGGACCTCCGAGTGAACTCGACCCTTAGCCCTAATCTAACCATAAATGCTTAAATAACCTTCGAAATTATTTGCCTTAGTCTTATTTCATACTTGCATGAGATAATATAACAGATTTCAGCTTAAAAGCTCCTGAATTAAAAGAAACTTTTGCTTATTTTTAAGCAACGAAAATAAAAAATACATCGGTATTAAACGTTACCCCAACTTTAAGAAGCTTCAAAAGCTTTTGAATATGAAGAAATTTGTCTGCAAGCTGCCTTTTCGTCATATCCAACTGGCGAAGCTTTTTATTAATCTGATCTTAATGGTGTCTAGAGCTTCGAGCTGCTTTAAGCTCTTGGAATTTAGTAAAAGCTACTTGCTTTGAGCTTCTTATGAAGTGCTTGAGTGAACCGCTTCCAATCCTTTCTTGAATCCTTTTCAGATGTCCACATAGCCGCCTTATCGCTGCTGTATGAGCCGCAGGTCTACGATCTGGCCGGCTTTGCGCTGGGCATAGCGGACCGAGCCGGCATATTGCCACGACTGAATGATATACAGCCGGGTGATATGCTCATTGGGCTGCCGTCGTCTGGCGTGCACAGCAACGGATTCAGTCTGGTGCATAAGGTGCTCAGGCGAGCGGGTCTAACCCTGTCGGATCCGGCAACCTTCAGCGGGCGTACGCTGGGCGAGGAGCTGCTGGTGCCGACCAAGATCTATGTGGAGGCGCTGAGCCCGCTGCTGGCGCAGGCGGACAATGGCATCAAGGCGCTGGCCCACATCACCGGCGGCGGTCTGCTCGAGAATATACCGCGTGTGCTGCGCAAGGATCTGACGGTGCGTCTCGATGCCAACAAGTATCCATTGCCGCCGATCTTTGCCTGGCTGGCCGCGGCCGGCAATATCGCGCCGCTCGAGCTGCAGCGCACCTACAACTGCGGCCTGGGTCTCATCTTGGTGGTCAGTGCGGAGCAGGTTAAGGCCGTGATGCAGCAGCTGCGCTACACACAACGCGCTGTCGTCGTGGGCGAGGTCATCGCACGCACGGAGAACAAGAAGCCGCAGGTTGTGGTCAAGAACTTCGAGGCATCTCTGGCGCGCAGCCTAAAGCTGTTGACGCAGCCACGCCGCCGCGTCGCAGTCCTCATCTCCGGCACGGGCAGCAATCTGCAGGCGCTCATCGGTTCGTCGCGCGACTCGGCCCAGGCGTTGCACGCCGAGATTGCGCTGGTCATCAGCAATAAGGCCGGCGTGCTGGGCCTGGAACGCGCCACCGCGGCGGGCATACCATCGCTGGTCATCTCGCATCGTGACTTTGCCAGCCGTGAGGATTTCGATGCGGAACTGACGCGTCATCTGGTCGCGGCACGCATCGATCTCGTCTGTCTGGCCGGGTTTATGCGTGTGCTGAGCGCGCCTTTTGTGAGCCACTGGCGCGGACGTCTCATCAATATACATCCATCGCTGTTGCCCAAATATCCGGGTCTGGATGTGCAGCGCAAGGCGCTCGAGGCCGGCGAAATAGAATCCGGTTGCACCGTACACTTCGTGGACGAGGGCGTCGATACCGGCAGCATTCTGGTCCAGGCCACCGTGCCCATACTCGAGGGCGATGATGTCAATAGCCTGACGCAGCGCATCCACCTGGCCGAGCACTGGGCATATCCACGCGCCTTGGCGATTCTGGCCTCCAGCGGGGCCAAAGACGTCGTCAACACGTCGAACTAGCGTGTGCACGGATTTCCATGCCAAACCTTTAAGACAGCTCTTCAATTCGTAGCCCTTCATATCAATGACATGATTATTTTATAATATACATATATGTAAATATTGATAAATAAATTTAACCCCATAATCTTGCTGTCGATCATACTATATGAACAGTATATATATATAGCAGCAATCGGACAAAATTAAAAAATATATATATATATTTAAAAAAAATGACGACCTGCCAGCTTCCTATTAAGTTTTTATAGCTCAAGCTTGTTAATATTCAGAATTGGAAATATTGTAAAAGGATTCTTAAAATGTTTATCACAATATTTAATAATTTGAAGTCGGTTTGAACTATTCTAAGCTAAAAAAAAATCCTACAATTTTGACGATACAATATTCTTCTCCCAAAACTATGAAAACTAAAGAAAACTTTCGGACGGCAGATGCCATTTCCAATTTAGTTGCTTTTGGGATTATTTTGTAAATTGTTGTTGCCGCTTAATTTAAGACAAATGTTTTTCTTTTATAAATCATAGATTCGATTGGCAAACAGGTTGATCAGTTCTCACTCTAAAATGTTTACTATATTTAACTGCATTTCAATATTTTCTTTAACTAATTTTATCACATTCGCAAAATTCAACATCAAGTTCTTCCTTTATTTACATATCACGATGTAAGCTCTAATCTAATATCACCAATTGTTCATTATAATTATATATAACATTTAGATTGTATTATTGAAATTTACAGGAAGAATGAGAAGAGATTCACCATAAAGCCCCTTTCGCTGTTTGCGCCAGCCGCAATCTTGCCTGCGTCCTGCTGGCGCTTCACGTTGCGCGGCAATTCCGGTTCCTTGAAGATGCCCGCGGCCAGCTTGTCCAGACTCAGGCGAAAGTACTGATTCTCCAGTATGGGCACAATTAGATTATACTTGTCAATTGTTTTATTCAACTGTTCCACATCAGCCGCATGCGACTGGGCAAATTTCTGCCAGGCTGCCTGCTCCTGGGCCGTGGCCAAAGGCCAATCGCCGTAGTAGCTGCGCTCGGTGCGCAGCTGCTGCTTTAATTTGCCGACAGCCTCGCGTATATCGCGGCTGAGCGTAATCCATTCCGGCGTAAAGCCATTGTCCAGCATTATTTTGTTTAGCTTGTGCGTGGTGAAGTCCAGATAGGGATTCTGTGACTGAGCGCTGGACAGCGGCTTGCCGGCGCCATTAAGATTGTTGAAATCGCCCTTGGACATGGCCTCCTGTATCAGATCCTCGACGACACGATCAATGCCGTATTTGGTCTTGATCGCATGCTTGCCATAATAGCTGCCGCCTTTGCGCATTAGCGCACCCTCCTCGGCGGCCGCCTTCTCGATGCGATGCTCCAGTACGCGCTCCTGTGCTCTCATCGCACGCACCTGTTGGTGTTGCTTCTGGCGTTGGGTGGGCGTGCCCACGCCTATGCCATCATTGGACAAATATTGGCGATGCTGCGGCGCCGTGTGTTTGATATCAAACACCATTTCCTCCTCCTCGTCTTCGTTGATATTGCGGCGACTCTTAGCAAACTTTTCCTGCAGCATTTTAAATGCCTCGTCCACTTGCTGGAAACGCTCGTTGCTCGCCTCATCCGTGTCCGCATCGGGATGCACCCGCTTTACCAGGTCCAAATAGGCGCGACGAACCGTTTCCTGGTCGGCGGATTCGTGTACGCCCAGTATTTGAAAGCATTGCTATTGCATGGAACAATCTATTAATATTACCGTTAGTTTATGGTATAACTACTCACCTGGTACAACTCGCGCCTCTTCAAGTGCAGCGCGCGCCTACAATTGGCCCCCAGGGGGCTCATCAAATTGCCTAAAATGTTAACTGTCGGTAGCATTTTCGTTTTATGATTTTATTTACAAATATTCTTGGCATTTGTCGCCCTCACTAACTGTTTTGTTTGCTAAGTTTTTACATTTAAAAAAATGCGATCAAATTGATGTTATTCAATAGGTGGCAAACGACCAAAACAAAACAAGACAACATTAAAGCGTATTAACAGTGGCAAAAAACTAAGCGACAACATTTAAATGTTACAGCAAATGTAACTGTTAGGCTCAGTATGCAAACAATTAAATTTAGTAAGGGCACAAACAATGTTTGGTATTATTAAAAATGTATTATCCACATATTCTAATTAAGAAACTATTTTCTAATCAAGGATATTTTTGCGAGAAACCGTGAACACAGAGCACACGAGTAACATTATCTGAGTAACATCTGATTAACTCAAAATGGCACTGTTCATTAAAAGTATGGCACTTATCGATAAGTTATGGCCCAAAGTAGGACCATTTTTGGGATTTTTAACAGACTTGATGTGACCAGATTTTACCAAAGAAAACAGCTGTTGAATTTTTAGCACACTTCGGTCACACAGTACCAAAAAAAAACTCGTTGCACACAACAGCAAAACACGCAACAAAAATTAATATTAATTCGATTTAATACAAAACGCATTACAATTAAAACTAAACAATAATTGCCAGCCAAGTGCCTCAACTGGCCGATTGTGTGCAAACAATGTGCAGTGGAATAAGCAATAGAAATTGTTTAACATAGGCGACACACACACAAAAAAAAAATATTTTTCGTAAGTGTCGCAGAATTTACTAGTTGCTGTGTGTGCGTGCCCCACTCATGTGTGTGTGTGACAGTACGTGCGTCTGCATGTGTAGATGTAGCGTGTGTGAGTGACTGACTGCAGTTTGCGTACGATATTTTGTTGATTAAAATGTAATAAAAACGTACACTTATTAAAAGTGTAGAAGGCAACAGCCGCGCAAAGCACAACAACAACAAAAAATTTTGCTGCTATACAACACTACATTGAGTAAAGAGAAACAACAAAAAATAGCAGCATGTCGCGTCGTTGTGTGTGTGTGTGTCGTCGTCGTCGTCGTCTCGTCACAGTCTGTGAGTGTGTGTGTGTTCATTAGTATTTGTGTTAAATAATGTTTAAACATTTTTTTAATTCGCACAAACTTTAATGCGTTGCAGTTCAGCAAAAGGTGAGTAATGTCATGTAAATAATTATAAACAAATGCTTGACCAAGTCAATTGTTCGTCAACAGTCGCCCTGCTCTCCCTCCCTTCCCCGCTCCAAACCACTCTGGTTGGTACTCTCGCTCTACCTTTCTCCAACACTCGCTCTCAATTTGCTCAGTTTTTGCACGTTCGCTCTTAATTCCAGTGCGCCTTATTTTAAGTGTAATTTTGTAGTTGCCTTATTTTAATTTTAATTTGCTATGCGCGATTCGCGCGCTTATTGTGAATGCGCAAAGCACACAAACAAACGTCAAATGTCAGACAAGCCGCTCTCGCTGTTATGCGCTTACTCTCCCTAGCTCGCAGTCTCTCTTCAGTGGCCATGTGTGTGAGTGTGCGTGTGAGTTTGGTTTGTTTTTGTCTAATTTACTTTCTACGTGCAAAAAGCAAAAACTCTTGTTTTAAACATGAAAGTCAACACACATTACTGTTGCCACTCTCTGTTTTTATTGGTATTACCTTTGTGCATTTTTTTTATTTTTGATTTGATTAGCTGTGCCGTGCACACACAAGACTCACATACACATGGCGAACTCGTTTCTGATAAGATTTTAATTGTTTGAAACGGACATGCCAATAACTGAATGCTGATATGAGAGAATATCATTAGCTCGACCTTAACATTTAGCAAAATGTTAAACCTGACAATATCACTGCAGCCATTGAATCGATTAAATTAAGATCGATTTAATTCCTAAAAGAAAATAGTGTGATTTATTATGTGAAATAATACTGTTTCATCTACAAGCTACCAGGTCAATGATAAGAATTAGAGGCTTACAATTTATGCGGGCATAACTCACCAAATTAAAAAAAAAAAGAGTTAGAGCATGAACAGTATTTTGACATTGTACACATAAAAAATATTTAAGCTGGTTATTTACAGTCCCCAGAAAATCACAAATAAATATGTGTGGCCCAACACAACATTGTATTTGTTCAAGCAACAGAGACATGATAAAAAAATGCTGCATGCCATCAAATTACAATATAACAAACAATAAATGAAAAGTGTCAGCAAACAAACAAAACGCATAACAAGACAAGCAATTGTTGTTGTTGATTTTCGCACGGTTTCAAATTCCAATGCATTGGCAACACTAACGATACTAGCAACAACAAACACAGATATGCACGCACACCAAACACTCACACACACACACACAATTGCTAGCAAAAGTAACAACAAACTACAGCCAAAAAAACGTCAGGCGCTCTCATTCTCTGTATATCTGCCCGCTCTCAAACATTCATTCACAATTATACTGTAACAGCAAGCGAAAGAGCGCACAAAATGGAATGTGCTGCAATAAAAGTAGCAAACATATGTTGTTATAAAAAATATTCAAGCGTTTTTTATTCAGTAATTATAGATTTTAAAAATCGAGAACTCAAAGTAAACTGTATGATCTTCGTTAACAGTGCATAACGTATGTGAATATTGTGGCTCTCACAGATTTAATCGTTCGCTGTCTCAAGGCAATCTTAGGAGGGCGCGAGCGCCACCTGTTAACTAACAGCTGCTTAACATGCACAATTTGAGTCAACATTGCTCTCTGGCAACAAATCGTAACAGACCCGGTTAGCGTTGGCGCCAGTGTTAACAGTTTTTTTTTACAGTAACAGTATGTCGTCGCGCCGGATAAGATGTAAAAGCGAATAGCGAAAATCGTGAATTTTTTCATCTACACGCGCTCGTCGAACAAAACGCCATGCTAAATAAATAAAATATATAAAAAAAATTATTAAAAATAAGTGTGTGAGAAGCAATTGTTAAACAAGTGCAATAGTGCAAAGTTCATGCAAAGCAAATAGGAAAAAAGCAAAAGCAAATGCAAATGTAAAAGCAAAAGCAAATAAAATACGTAAGTTGTGTTTATTAATTATTTATGACGAAAAGCAACAAAAACAACGCGTCACAATTGCCCTCGTCGTGTTCGTCGTCTTCGTTGTCGCAAGTAGAGCAACGCCGCGCCACCGTCGCCTGCCGCCCCGTTGACCAACACACGCGTACATTAAAACATACATACATATACATAAAGACAAATGCGAAATATTTTTATTATTACCTCTCTCGCTCTCGCTGACTTTCGATCTGAATCGCCTGCAAATGTTATGCAAATTAATTAAAGCAATAGGAACAACAACAATTATTGAAGTCAACATCAGCCGTCGCAGCAGCCACAACAGCATAAAATAAAAATTTCGCTTTCGCAGTCGAAAAAAAAATAGAAAAAACGGTACAGAAAAAGTGAAATGCGCATTGACTTCAAAGCTGATTTTTTTGTAAATTTTTCAAACGGCACTTGGCGCTCAATCGCGGGCTCTCTCGCTCGCGCTTAACGGAACTGCCGCCAAGGCACACTTAATGTTGTTGTTGTTAGGCAGCGCCAAGCACAAAAGCAAACGCCAAAAAAAAAAACGGTTATGCGTGCGTTGCCCTTTGGGCTGCCTATGCCTACAACAACAACTGGTCGCAACATAATGAATGAAATACTACAAAAAAAACGACGGAGCATAGGCAATTCTCTGTGCTCTCACACATAACACACACACAGACAGAATTTAGCGTATATCTATATGTGTGTATGCATAAGTGCACATAAAATGTTCATACATAGCTAGAAAATGATTACATTTTGTTGTCGCTTGTCTTGTGCGCATCTGCTGTGTTGTTGCATTTATTATGTATTATGTGTGTGTACGTTTTTTTGATTTTTATTTAACACCTGCTGTTTTTCCATCAGCGCGAGCCGCGCACTCAAAAAAGTTCGCAGCTGCTGCGACGGAGACGTTGGCAACACACAGCCACGTCTTGCGTACAATGTGGTTGGCAACTCTGCACATGCAAATGCAATTGCGATCAACAGCTGAAAAACGAGCGTAGCGCAATGTTAGCGGAAAACAACATCCTCGTTTGTGTTTGTTGTTGTTTCTTTGCAGAGTTTGTCATTTATAGTTGGTAACACTGAAGCGGATTCTCATATTATTAACAGCTGTTGAGAGTGGTAAAAAAAGAGAGAGAGAGAGCGAGAGCAGTTGAATAGGAATCGAGTGAGTGAGCGATCTTTGTTATTGTCCTTGCATTCGATGTTATAGTTGTTGTTGTGTTTTTTTTTTAATTGGGTATGACGAACTTTTGTGTATTTGGGCACACCTTTCCTGTATCTTGGCTTAATTTAATACATTTTTTTTACAGCCCTAGAAAAAACTAAAAGCGCCTCAACAAAAAAGCAATAATAAATAAATAAATAATTTAAAACCAGCATAAGTTAAACAAAATGTTAATAAATAACAATTAATAATTACAATTTGTAGCCATTAGCTTTAATAAAATAACAACAAACGCATAACATTTATGAGCAGAAAATTTCATAAAGCCTATACAAGTACGCCTTCCAATAGTTATATATACAATATATACCGTTATATATACACATATGCATGCATAACATAGTAGAAGATGCGAAACGAAATGAAATTCGGCTAATTAGTATATAAAAAGTGCGTTATTTCGAACGATGCAATCAAATCTTTAAATATTAAAAAACTAAAGCGTATATACATATATATTAATTTTACATATATATACATACATACATACATATATTTCTTATAACAACGAAATAGAATTAGGAATATTAAAATTAAAATAAAAATTATCAGCTTGCTTACAACAAAAATCCATGCAATTACTTTAGCAAATTTACTTTAAAATAAAAAATACAAAAAAAAAATATTAAAAATAAATCAATCAAGTGCAAATTCTAAAATTAAAAAAAAAACAAAAATTTTTTCTATGCGCCCCAAGTGCTTAAACGACAAAAACAAACAGAATACCCAAAAAACAACAACAACTAGAATGTAAAACATACAACCATAACCTCAATCAATCACAGCAAAACGAGCAATATTAAGCATAACGAAAACTTAAAAAAAAAATCCTAAATTTAATTGTTAAATGTTAACTAAAAAAAATACAGCTACAACGCCAGCAACCTGCCAACAACAACAAGAACAACAACAAAAGCAACTAATGCGGTGCCCAAAAGCCATCGTAAGCTTTAGCCGCCCCGCAAGAAGAGCAGCAGCAACAGAAAATCAACAACAACCACAACAACAACAAAAGCGTAAAGTTAACGGGAGCAACGGCGCCATTCGGCGCAGCTCTCAAATTCTCAGGAGTTGCTATTGCCGCACGCATTAACATTGGATTAGTCCCCCGAACCCCAACATTCCCCCAACTCTGAGGTACTCATGTAGGGGCATTAAAAGCAATTGGAACAGCAACAACAACATCGACAGTAACGGGACATGGATATTCATATGAAAAAACTAACAAAACCACGGTAAGTTTTAAATACTTAAATACCTCAATCTTAAGATTCGTACTATATTTTTCACATACTTTCTGATCCAACAAATTAAATATTCCTTGCACCCTTGTATTTTACTGATAATGCTAAGACTTTCGAAGTCCTATTGAAAAGATCTTTAAAAATGTGATTAGATTTCAAGTAAATACGTCCAGAAGTATGTAATGCGGTTTTAAGGATACTTTGAAGATTTTTTTTTTTGTTTGGATCATTTTTCCTATTTAATATTTTATCCGTAATTTCCATACGTGCTTATTGTGCACGCTATAATTCCACTTATGCTCTTTAATATATACATACCTAAGAACTCATTTTTTAAGGATTGTGAAGTGTTAGAATCACGTAAAGCATCAATTCATATAGATAAATTATTTATTGATTCTTTAAGGTTTCTTGGTTAGTCCGACATTAACGTATGCCTTAACCTAACCTCGTTTGTATTAACCTCAAAGCCATTCAACACATACATGAGCTAAAATCGCGCGAATTCAAGCAGTAAAAATAATCAAAACATCAAAAAAAGAAATGATAAAAATATCATCGTCTTTTCAAACATTTTCTAGTTGTAGTGTGTCTTGATGTGCGTATATACATACATATATAAATATATATATGTGTGTGTGCGTTTGCTATATCGTCGCTCATGCACTATAAACAAGACAAGCTGCTGGTTCCCTAAAGCCACATTACACACGCACACACACACACTAGCACACGCTGCGGAAATTCACAGACATATTCCCGTTCAAGTTCCACAACTAAAAACTTTTCTCATTTCTGCGTATTGCGGCAACCCTTTTTTTTCTGTGTGTATGTTTTTTGTATTTTTTATATTTTCCTTATTTTTTTTTCTGTACTGTCAATGAGCTGCGGCGACCACTAAAATGTATAATTGAAAATTGTACGCCCACATTACGACTAGAAATGCACAGACAATGAGAGGGACAGAGACAGGAGAGGAGCGCGGTGCGGGGTTTAGTACCAAAAATGGTCCCCAGTTGCTTTTAGCGCCAGGCAATAAACAGAGCGAAAGCAACAGCCGCACTATGAAGATAACAGCTAAAGAGATAGAGAGAGAGAGCGAGGCAAAGTGTTGCCAAGTTTGCGGTTTTCTTGACTGCCGTTTTACCCCAACCGGCACCGCTCCCGCCCCAATTTAGCGCCCACCTTGACCAAAGTAGAAAAATCTAAAAGTTTTTTTATTTTTCATACTTAAATATACATACATATACACATTTATATATGTACATATATATGTATACTTTTTGCCGGCGTCGCCACGCACTGTTTCGCCTGCTGCTTCGACTTCTTCTTCTTTTACTACTTATTCTTCTTCTTCTACTTCTTGTTCAAGCATTGTGTGCACTTTTCGCTGCAATTTGTAGAAAAGTTTTTACAGTGCGCGTAAAGTTTAACCATAACAGATTTCTTTTGCCGTCTATTTTCTTGAGGGCTAAAAACTCGACCAACTTCTCAATTTGGCTCCACTGCTTCCCACGCCCCTCGCCCATGTCAAGGGGCAGGGCAGTTAACAACCGCATAAACCAGCATATCTAATTTGACAAACTAAACCTGTTTTATTCGACAACATTTTCACACAGAACTGCCTTCGTTTACTTTTCCTGTAATTAGATTGTAATAGTTGGATAATTTATATTAAGTAAAGTAATATGAGAGAAACATTTTAAAAGCAGTTTTCTTAAAGTCAAAATTATTATTATTTCTTTCAATGAACAAGTTCTGCATTCTAATTGCCAAGTTCAAGAGATCAAACAAGCGTTTCGAGTTGCAAATAGTTAAGAAGTGCTTTACAGAGATTAGTGCTACAATATTGTATGTAAAGTGAAAGATCCCCTGAGAGGTTGTCTTCCAATTGCTTGTCAAGCTAAAGAAACTTAAATTCCAGACTATATAGTATAGTAGTACAATTTAATATCTGATTTAATTTTGCAGGTAAATTAGGAGAATTGTTAATGTCGTATTTGCTAGACTTTATCGAAATTTGCCAGCCATAGCAATTATGGTAATTATTTATGTTTCTAGTTTTACAAAGAATCCATCATATATTCATATTGTTGGTGTCGCCATCTAGCGATAGAAACACGCATACTCTCACTCAAATTATGCTGATAAAATTTTAATATCTCTAAAATTGAAATTTTAATGTGTGTCTAAAGCGCGCGCGAGTTGGCCGCAATCTCCATTTCGCCGTGCCGCCACACGGCCCTTTGCTTTAAGCCCTTGTCAAGTCCTGCCCTACGACACACACACAAACACACATACAAACACACATACACACATATATATACATGCACTCGTTCAAACAGACTGCAAGTTTCTGGTTTTTGTGGCTTTTCCGCTTCTCACTTAACATCGCGCGCGCTCGCTCTATCTCCCTCTCTCTCTCTCTCTCGCCCCTTTTACAGCGCTGCTTTTGGCATTGGCTAAAAGCGAATTTCTTTCGTTGAATTATTTAAATTTGTCGGTGCTAGGGTGTGTTTGTGAGTGTGTGTGTGTCAGTGTGTGCGTCTGTGTGTGTCAGTTATGAATAGCTAAGTGAGTGCAAGTGCTGCAAGCAGCCTTTTCATTTTCATTAAACGCAGTCCCTTATGGGATGAGGTGGTGGGGTTTAGCTCACAGATGAGAAATTGCATTTCATAAGTTCTGCCATTCCGGATTTTAATTGTGTTACGTATAACCTTTATCATACATAATTTGATTGTTCAAAAAGCAGAAATCACCAGCTTTAATCCAAACTCAACTATTTTCATTGACTCCCATCTCCATTTTTATGGTTTTTCTTGTAGATGACATAGACTAATTTCCGTAGAATTCATGTATTTTAAACGTATCTGTCTTAGAGAATTAAAAAAGAAGATAAAGAACAATTTGTTGTTGGTTCCAACTACGTCACCTCTTAAAGACTTCCAGGGATTCAGATATTTTCAGACCTAAACATTTCGTAGCTATTTACCGTATAAACACGGTTGTAAATTGTCTGCAGGGTATCAACTAGTTTGTCATTTTGGCATGCTTTTAGTCAAAAGCTCTAAACAGCTTTTGTTTTTGTAACTTTGCCATGAATAAGTTTTAAATATTTAACAGTTGTAAGTTGATTAAAGCACCCAACGCTTTTGCCTGAAAGCAACAAAAAGTTTAATTAGCACTCTACCCGGTTGCTATTATACGGTTCATTCACAGTTTTTCCCCAGTTACAGGGGGATTTTGGCTGTTAATGACAAAACTTACCCCTAAAAGCTGGCAAAACAAATGCCTAATTGTCGCTGCGAATTGATTGGTCTTTCCAAACGCAAAGCTCCCCAATCATTAACCAAGGACACAGATAATATACAAATAAACATATGTATGCATATGTGTGTGCTTGTATGTTAGTGTGTGTGTGTGCGTATATAAAAGGCAAACATGTCAAACACGAGCCGAACCCTTGTTAAAGAACGCAGCAAATTATTTGCAAAAGGAAAATCCCCGAGCAACAACAACAAAAAGAAGAAAAACCGAAAAACGAAATAAATGTTAAGGGAAGTGATTTACTTTATCGATGGACACATAAAACAATTTGGCAGCACAGTCAGACGAATGCGTAGTATTCTTTCTCTTTCTCTCTCCCGCTCGCTCTACATTGCTCTCCCTCTCTCTCTCGCTCACTCTCTCACTCGCTCGCTCGCGTCCCTCAAGTGGTGGCAAAACATCTGTCATGACGGTTTGTCCTTTCAGCAAATCCTTTTTCGCACAAAAATCAAAATAATAAAAAACATGTAAAAAATGCCCCAGTTGACGATTGCCCGATTAGCAGATACCCTGTACAATGGTTATAATATCCAAGATACCTGCTTCCTTTCTGTTGCAACCAGGCAACCCATTTTTAAACATTTTTATAGAGTATAGGGTGTATAAAAGCAAATCTTTTCTCCGCTCGCTTTTACACGCTTTTTGCAATTTTATAAGGTATGAAAATTACATATGCCCGACTGAATACGCGCACACTGTCAAAGAGAGAGAGAGAGGGGGGGGAAGGGAATGGGCATAAAGCCGAGTGTCCTGGCATCCCGTAGCAAAGTCATAAAACTTGCGCCCACCAGAGCTTTGCAGAGCTGGTTCCGTAATTCTCCTCGACACACTCGCTAGCTCCCAACTGCTTCTTCAATTGGCAGCAAAGTTTTCCATAGAACTTGGGCTTTACCTTGGCGTCCTGCTGCTTTACATCCTTTCAAACTGTTGCTGATTTATAGGCTGCCTGTAGACAGAGGGAGAGAGGGGGTGGGGAACTGCCGGGGTAACTGTCTGTTTAGTTTACATTCTCTCCGTTTCTTATTCTTATTCTTCATTTTCCTCTTCTTCCGGCGTCGCATTAAAATGACATAATAAAATGTATAATTTCGACATAAAAACTGAAATCCCCGGGGAGATTTCTGCTTATTTCTGCCAAGGTCCCCCATAAAGGAGTCCTACAGCACGCCCCTAAATAACCCTCACTTACAACTTTCCATCCACCCCCCCTGGCTGTCCAGTTGGGCCGACTTTTGATTGTTGACTCCATGTGCGCCATATCAATTAGGTGTGTAGGTCAATAGCTTAAGACTGTGTGTGACGCCAAAGGGTGTGTGTGCAGCGAGGAGGGAGGGGTAGTCTATTTGATCGGCGGGTTATTGGTTTGGGGCTTGGCTCTTGGCCCAAATACGAATTTTCTTGCAAAGTTTGGGTTATTTGAACTAGAAATTGCACATGAATCATGCATTCAGTTTGATGTGTTATGCAAAGTGGAACAGACATATATATGTTCATATATATACTTATTCAGCTATAATATGCTGCTAAAAAATCGAATGAGCAGACATCTGAAGTATTCTTATTATAAGTATTTTTCTAGAAATCTAATTTACTTAGCTCTAGAACATAGGAGGAGTTCGACGACGAGTGATAGTTGTAACATTTATTTATATTATATTAATTATATTGATTATATGTATATTCTAAATAAAATATAATAATTTGCCAATGAGGAAATTATGGAGAATGTGGCTCATTTATTGTTGGTTTTTTCACTTTGCTCCTGTAAACTTGATGGGCAACATTTATTTGTTACAAATGTCAACTGTGGCGCCACAGAGTTGTTGCTGCTAATGCATTTTGCATGCGGGAGACACACCTCGAGAACCTCGACCTGTTTGTTTTATTTTTTGTCCTTTTCCTTGATGCCCTTTCCAAGCTCACTTCAAGGTGTCTCCTGATGTGCTCTGTGGCATATCTCATTTCCCAGAAACTGGCCAACCCTTTTTCTTTTCCACCTTGCCACATATAAATGATTAACTGTTGCATGTGCCGCTCGCCACGCCCATCAGCCAGTTGCAGTTGCTGCAACTGAAGGACACGGGACACGACATTTGTTGCTGTCCGCAACCCCACTCCCCCGCATCTCTCTCTCTGCATTTGTGTGTGCCACATGCAAGTGGCAACACTGTCGCCGCTCACATTTCTCACACATACAAGTGTTTGCGCCACTTTAAGCTAACAACAACAACAACAACAACAATAAATGGGAACTGCAACTGCAACTGAAATTGCTGCCAAGTCCTTTGCTGCTGCTGCCGCTGTTTGGCATTTGGTTTAAATACCCTGTATGAGCTAGAAATGGGCTGTATTTATTTTAAATATAGAGAAATAAAAATCAAATCGAATAGATATAAAGGATTTGTCCATAGAGTCGCTAGTAGATGAACAAATCACATGTTATCAATGATTAACTAAGCAATTTGATCTCAACAAGTTAGCTAAATTGCGCTAAATAAACTGACTAATATAAAATAATAGATAATACAAATAAGAGAGACTATACGGTAAAGGCCTTATAAGTTACTTAACATAGTAATCCTACTTTCACAGTCGTTGTTAGAGATCAAAAGGAACTGATCGATTCCATCGATCGTAATAAAAGAAATATTATTAAAAATAAAGTAAAAGTTATAGTAAATACCTCGTGAAAATGGAAAACACAACAAATGAAACGTAAAGTTCGAAGAAAATTCAAAATATGTCGATAGCTTCGATAGTTAGAAACAGTAAATCGATGTTTCTCAATCAATTTATGATACAGATTATAGCATAAAAATCTCTTACGACTGATTGGATTTCCAGTGAAAATTCTATTTCAAATTAAATCGAATGTCCCTTTATGTAAATAAATGTAATATTGCGTGCTTCCTTGAATAGAATTCATAATCTATCAATGTAAACATATTCCACGGTCATACTCTGAGCCCAAGGCTATCGGGGCTCGTAAGCTTAACCTATTGTTGTTGTGGTTAACGATGGCGGAGGGGGGTGATGGTGGTTGGTGGGGCTCCTGCTGTTGCTTCTTCTTGATTCTTGGTATTTCATCTATTTGCTCGGCCAGCCGCCCCAATTGAGAAACGCGGCGGCGGCGCTGAAGACGACGCGGAAACAGTAAATAAGTTGCACTTTTCCGCTGACAGGGAAAGCGCTGGCGACCGGGAGGTGGATGTGTGGAGGGGTGGAGGGGTCTGCCTTGTTGCTGGTGGAAAGGGGGATTGGGGGGTCAGTTAGTGTCCTTCGTGGCTGCTGACTGCAAATAAAAACAAAAAACTTATTTGCCATTTATTTCCAGTTGACGTTTTTTCTCCCTCTTCAGCGCCCTGTGTTCTGCTGTTATTAATACTGGCAGCAAGGGGCGTGGCAGGAGGGGGGGGGCGGGCTACAGTTGTGGGGACAGGTCCTCGACAAGCCTTTGGGGTCGCTGTTGCTGTTGCTTGTTTGTTTGTTTTTGTGCTTAATTCTCTGGCCAGTCAGTCAGCCAGCGAGCGATTCGCCTTTAGGAAGTCGCTCTCTCTGTCTCTCTCTCTCTGTTGCGCGCTCTGTGGAAGCATTTCCGGTGTAGGGATAAAAATTTGTCGTGGTTGAAATATTGTAACCTGAAGCCCTTATTGAAGGACTTTTTAATGAGTGTTTGTGTTTGATTGTTGAGAAACAGCGCTCGCGTTAAGGAAGTTGTGCGGTCTTCTTCTTCTTTTCTCATGCTTGAATCTCTTCTGCGTTCCTCTACCAAGAAACGTGTCGCATGTAAGCCGATTTCGCTTGCCACAGAGTTGCAAAAACACACATAAAAGTAAGGAACACCAAGTAAACGTTAACTAAAGAATTCTTTGGAAGTCGTTGGCCACTTTTCATGGTTTCATATAAAATATAATATCGTAAATAAGAACGTTTTAGTCCTGAAACACATTTCGTATCTCTCTAATTATACATCTCTCTACTTTACCTATCGATAATTAAAACGTTTCAATATGTTATCGATTATGTTTTGTTTCACTTCTAATTTTTCAACGACTAATGGAAAAGGTCAATTATTCTTTTTATTTGTATGCAAAGTAACAAATAGCTGGGCGATAAATTTGCATATTTAAATGTCTTGTAATACTCCACAATTGTTTGTACGAATATCTCCACCCTTGTGCTTCTGTTACCTGTAGGCCCTTGCCACCCTCCTCTCCCTTGCCACCCTCCTCTCCCTTGCCACCCTCCTCTGGATCTTTCCTTACTTTATTGCCCTTTCTCATGTCACGCAACGGTTAACTGAAGTAGTTTTTTTATCGATGGGTTTTAACCCCTTCTCGGCATATCATTTCCATTAAATGTCGAGAATATGTTTTGTTCGACAACTAAAATCGGGGACAACCCTCAATAGTTGTTGCTATGTGGGAACCAAATGCAGTCAATTTCTTAATTGTTGGTTTTGTTTTGATTTTTATTATAATTTGCCCAATGTTAAATTGTGCGTGTGTGATTTCTGTTGCATGTGTCTATTAATATACAAATTGATCTTTAAATATATATAAATATAACAAAAATAGCACGACGATCGATTTAGCCAGAAATGAAATAAACCGCGTCAAGATGAAATCTCGAAATTCTCTCGAAAACACGCGCAAATATTTTGATTTTAATTCAAAATTTAAGTTGGGCAATTTTGACCTATATATCTGTTATTGTTGAAGTTTGTTTTACGTGTGAACAGATGTATATACTTCTAGGAAATACACCTTTCAGATTGTTGCTAATATTTGGAGCATCTTTGGTATCTTTATTTTGAGTTGCTCTTCAACTTTGACACAAGCACTCAAAGTACACAGCATAGAAAAACTGACAAGTTGAGACTTTTAGTGCATTTCGTGTTTTATATATACATATATATATATATATATATATATATATATATATATATATATATATATATGTATATACTTTGTTGCGCTTGAAAATGGGCGGCCGTTTGGCTGCATTGTGAAATAAAAGCTGCTATTGATGCCTTCTTTGTTGTAGTTTTTGAAGCTTTTTAACGTCATGCACACACTTGCCGGCAGCAGCAGTAACAACAACAACAACAGCAACAAAATCAGTAATGAAAAGAACAACACTTGAATGGCTCTCCAATTTAAACGGCCGCATAGATGTGCTCTGCTCTCAATGCGCTCACTCGTTTGCCACAATTAGGTGTTAATACGACAATTTACTCAGCAGCGGCAGCGGCAATAATAACAACAGCTAACTGAAATATTAATGCAATGCTTGCACATGAAATATTTATGCTTGTGTGCGTTTGTAAGTTAAGTTGAACACGCCGCTATTCCGCGCTGCCGCTCTCTCTGTCTCTCTCTCTCGGTGTTGGCTAACGATCGATAAAATGTCGTCCGACGCCGACGCCACTCTGCTCATTGCTAGCTTCCTGCTGTGTGCGTGAGTGTTGGTGTGATTTTGTGTGCAAGTATTTGTTTGTGGATTACATTGTATGTTCTGCCTCTCCTAGGCTGCGTATTTTGTAAGCACAACAACAAAATGCCTCGGCATGCAAGTATATCGCAAGCTCTTCGCATCTCCTTCCCACACACACACACAAACACACGCATACATACAAACACTTTTGTCACGCATTTCCCTTGTTTTTGTTTATTTTATTAGTTGAGTGGCTTTTAGTTGAAAATTTCTGGTACGTGTTTGTCGCATTTTGCTATTGTTATTGTAATGCTTATTGATTGCTGTTTGTTAGGGGGTTAGGGGGTATGCCCCCTACTTATTGCATACCAACATACATACACAGATATGTATGTATATGTATGCACATGCATTACAGAATGTATAATTGATATTAAAATGCTGCAATGTTTACATTTACTTTGCGCGTTTGCTGACTTGGAAAATGAGCACTGGTAAATTGTTTTTGTGCTAATTTGCTAATTCCTATTGGGCTAATTTTCTGGTTTAAAAGAGATTGCAATTTATTTTTTTATATGTATTATAAAATGTAATACGCTAACCGGCAAACATCAAAGACCTCGTCTGTGTGATAAGAAATCGGGCATCATGTAAACATGTAAAAGCTCTAAAAGTGAGTCATCCAGCTTATCTAGCAGCCATGCTCTGACTATCTCTCTTTAAGTCCGAGCTCATAATCCTGATCGGAATCCAGCTTCAATATGTTTGTCTGAATCATGGCTGGCGGCAACTTTGACGCCGGCAGCGGTTACACGCAAGAGAGTCTTACTTTAGTGCTAACTAACTCTAAGTAACACTGTGTACAACAGACTAATATAATGTGAGTTTTAATCTGACCGAATGTTTTCTGTGTTTATAAAACTTCCCAAAAGTCTTGAATCAAAGTTTTACGCCATAATTTTTGATATTGATCATATACATATATTTTTTGAATTAATTTATTAATAGTCGACAAAACGAGTGTCAACCTAGGAATATATTAGGTACTCCCCCTGAATGCTTCATAAAATTAGTCACTCTAATGTAATTTTGTAAATATTCGCCAATTGCATTGCTGACTCATTCTCTATTTTGCGTCTGTCTGCTTAATGAACACAATAAAAGAAGAGGCAAACGTATGCCTAATTAGCAGCCATGGGGGAATAAGACACATCAAATTCGCTTAACACTTGATTGGCAAGCAAAATAAATCAAGCGGCAAGGCGAAACAACTCGAAGCACAAGGCAAGAAAAAATATACAGCGAAATACAAAATATAGGAGAATATGCATGCAATGTATGACGACGACGACAACAGCAACAACAAATAAAACAACTGTTTTGCAAAGAAATAAATAAATAAATGGATA